TAATCCACGATTTGTTGGATGGTGCACAGAGTGTCGAAAAAGTGGGTTTTCCAGGACTATCAGAAGTGGGTTCCAGTCGTCACCCGCTGGACCTGCAAAGCTGTGGCCATTTCAATGGCATGGCTCTGGCCTAAGAGATTGGGCCAAGAGACGGCCAAAGGAATGAAACCAGAAAATAGGGATATTCATCAAAAAGCCTGGGGTATAATTGGAACATATGGAAATCATTGGGGTAGTCATGGGATATTATATATCCGTATCAACCATAGATTATTGATCAATCTGATATATTAATCAACCAGAGATTGATCAACAATGGGATATCATCATGGGATGTAGTGGGATATGTACAGTAATAAACAATACATAAAACTTTGGGTGTGTCTGAATATGTGGGATTGACCACCAATAAAAATGCCAAGTTTTCAATGGGGAAAATGAGGTTCTAAACCATTGAATTTACGGGGGTCCCCTAGATGTTCAGACATGTTGGTCCATGTTTAGCCAGATACTCAGCTATCTATTATCGTTATATTATGATGCTTGCAGATACCCCGATATAATCATTGAAGTTTAACGAAAAAGATCGCCCGCCCACCAATTAAGGCTTTAATGGTGGGTTGACAGGCTAATTAAGCCCCTCGCGTTGGGTGATTCCTTTAGGGGGGTTACCCTTGAACTTCCAAATCATGATGTTTGTAGATAACCCATTTATAATGGCTAATGATATAGCCCAATTATGACTAATCAATCTATAACATGATACCCTCTGGTAAACATACAAAAAACTATGGAAAGATCCACCATTTTTCATGGGAAAATCCACTATGTCTATGGTCATTTTCAATAGCTATGTCAGTCATTACCAGAGGGTATCATGAGGCAAGCCATGGGACCTTCCAGCGATACCCTGTGACCTTCCTAAATTTCTTGATGTCCTATATAGGTCTACCTATATCATATCCAAATAGATCATCATATTGATAATATGTATATATATATATATATATACATTTATTTACAACTATCATAGTCAAAGATATATCATATCATATATATATATTTAATACATATATATATATCATACATATATATATATATATATATATTTGATATATATATATACATATATATATGTATATTAGCACATGATACATCGATATATCCCAATCAGAAAATCCTCCATCGGATTCTGGCGGAAATCGTTAGGTGGATTCAGCGGATCATCTCTGCCGTGCATTCGGCCATCCGCGGCGGCATGATCTTCGGGGAATACCTGGTGCGCCCGACGGGTGGAAACGGCCGGTCCCGTGAGGGTTTTGTGGCCAGGTGGATCCATAAGATCTCCAGAAGATATCCATGCTACGTTGTTAATGGACTAAACCAATGGACCAATGGTAGCTTAATGGTAGAGTAGTGGATGGTTATGGGTTCTGTTATGACTTTTAATTATATCATATTATATCATTGTTTGGCAGAAATGGTAGGTCAATGGGTACTTCTGTTTGATCTGTTCGGCCATAGATGGAGTACGTGAATATCCTGCAGAACAGTTTGACTTTTGGGTAGGTCGCATAAGCAAAGCTACATTCGTATACATCACGGTACCAGTAGGAGGATGATGTTACGGTAGGAGGTTTTGGTATCTCTTCAGGATTTTCTGGGTGTTCACCTGGGTAGTTTTGCCATGTTTTGCCTGGGGAGACGGTTCACAAATCCACCACACCTAACTGAAGCTTCTCAGGAGGGCCAGGCGGCCAGGGTAGGACCCCTCCATGGATTCCGTGGCCAGGTGGACTTTCTGCACGAGAAGGGCTTCTTGGTGGTCGAGCATAGAGACACCTACATGGACGAGGCACCCACGTCCGTCGGTTTTTTGACACACCAGCAGCTGCAGCAACGTTTGATGTTCCCAACATGGAGTCGTCCAACGACTATGAGGTACCCTCTGGTAATGACTGACATAGCTATTGAAAATGACCATAGACATAGTGGATTTTCCCATTAAAAATGGTGGATCTTTCCATAGTTATGTTAAATTACCAGAGGGTATGTTTTCGGTTGATGAATCATGGCTGACGTGAAACTGAAGCGTCGGCAAAAACGGTGATTCCAGATGATTTTTCCATGATCGCAGCCCGCGGGCCGAAGTGGGCCACAGGCTATTGGCTGGTCCATCGCTGCGCTGGGCTTTATCACACAGCTCTTCTTAGGGTGCCTCCAGCGATGTAGGGTTTAGGGATGGAATGGAATGGAATGGATGAATACATCCTGAGTCCTAGAGTTTATGTCCAATGTTTTCACTTCACACTGTGATTTGCGTTAATGTCCCAGTTATAAGTTATAAGGGGCTGTAGCTAGGTATTTGGATGATAGATGGTGAAGAAAGGTCTAGGAAACCTGGGTGAAGTAAAACCTCAATTTTTATAGGCATACTGACAGGTTTGCTGCCCCTACGTCCCAAATGCATCCAAATACTGGGGGGGTATATTTGCTATGTAAAGAAATGAAATCACCAATTCCTTCTCCCCCCCACAGCGCTGAGACGAAGAAGTAACTATACAGATATCAGATTTGGGCAATATGTGGGCTGTGGGCAAACTCTGGAAGGTTATACAGTTATACACAAGAATATTGGTTACTAAATCCGCCCGCACCGAAGGTGCTGGGGCGTGATCTTCCGGATGGCACTCGTAAAAGGTTACAGGTTTACCTAAGGGGGTGGGCATTTTTCGGCCAAAACCTCCTGTTTTTGATAGGTCGTGACGCTCGCCTTCAAAAAACACTGTAAAAAACAGTACGGAAGACACCTGTTCGTGAACGCGCCCGTCCAAAATCGGCAAGCGAAAAGTGAAAAAAAACCCGTGTTTTTCAACTTTTTGACCTCAATTTTTTGGTTTGCAACATCTTTTTTTGCGGTTCCGCAGGTGGCCGGGCCCGGAGGCGGATTTTTGAGTTTTTCGACCCGTTTTCGGACTGATTTTCGTCGTTTTGTGATAGCAGAAACACTGGTTTTTACAGTGTTTTTCTGTTTTCTGCATGCTTGACGGCTAGCTTCAAAACTTCCAAAAACCTCGTAAATTACGCTGTTTTATGTTACGGTGTGAATGAAAACATCGTAAATACCAGTGTTTTTTGACGTTGGTTAAAAAACACTGTAAATTACAGTGTTTTTGGCCACCTGACCCTCAAAAACCATGGTATTTGCAGTGGTTTCTGCTTCTCACCGCGCAAAAACACTGTAAATAACAGTGTTTTTCGTTATTTTTTGAACTGCGTTGGTCCGCTATACATGGCTATCAAATTCTTCGCGTTTTTTCTTCCGACAATCAGTACTTTCGGATGTTTTTGGTCTCAATGGCCGACATCATTGGCAGTTACGAGCGGCTGCCCAACGATGCGGTGCGGGCGGTTGCCGTCGCGAAGCGACGTGAATACGTTGAGGTGTAGCAGCGTAGCCCGCAACTTCTGCCCATGTTTCATGGTTCTTAGCTAAAAAAAAACCTTGCGTAAACAAATATGAAACACACCATAACTGGTTGGTGGTGGCTGGAACCATGGAATTTTATGACTTTCCATATATTGGGAATGTCATCATCCCAACTGACGAACTCATATTTTTCAGAAGGGTAGGTCAACCACCAACCAGATAATACACCATAGCTTCCCTCGAATAAAGTCACCAGGTTCCAACTGCCCTTGATCCTAAACCTGGTGCTATGGCCCGTGCAATTGCTGGAAGCCTTCATCGTGGCTTGGAGCAGTGAATAAAGGGACGAACAATTTTGCATCTGGTAATCAGCTCCATATTTCAATGAGGTTCCCATACTATATAAGATACATATATATATATACATATACATATTATTACATTATATATTATAATATTATATTTTGTGTATATATATATTATATCAAAAATAAAATCCATCACATATTTAGATGATTTTGAACATGACCTTACTTTGACGTCACTGGAATGATGGTTTTCAAGAATGAGAACTCATGCCCAAATGGCCGGGTGATATCTACTTTGCAGGCTAGTGAATAGCATAATCCGGCCAGGAAAAACAAATATATATATATAGGACAGATGCCCATTTAGTTTGGGGATAGGCCGATTGGCAGATAGTAAGTGGCTGAAAGATTGATGAGGGATGGTGAAGGGTAGTTCAATGATTCAACATGTTTGTTCATAAACTTGTTGAAAAAAGTGTTTCGATGTTTGTAAGACTTTGGAAATCCACGGATGTTGGCAATTTTATGCAATTTCGAAGCGTCCAAATGTGGGGTGTTTCCCTTATTGGGTTTACCACTGCTAAGCATTTGCTTACGCAAAAAAACTCAGGGGAACTTTGACCCTGATGGAATTTTTCTATGACGAACCGAGGTTTGGACCGTGAGCAGCTGACCGTATTTTCCCATCGCTTCACATCCTTGGACCCCAGACATCCACCGCGGGGACCCGGTGTGGCTGGGTGGAAAGCACTGATTCGCCCCCCACTGTGGCTTGGTGTCCCAGCGGCTGCTGTAGGTTTGCACAGTTGACTCAGTTGACGTTGCAGATGCAAAAAGCGGCTGCTGAAGGGATGGGAAGGCTTGCCTGGGATGCTGTGTGACAATGGTGGTTTTGCAACCGTTTTTTTTTTCCGTTTGAGTGCGGCAAGGTGAGTTGGAGTTGGCAAGTCTTCTGATAGTCTCACTTCCCAGCCTGAAGAAAGTCGCCTGGATTTGAGATTTTCTAGTGTGGCGTCGGACATCTTGTTCCAGGATCTCAAACAAAAAAATATGGGTATGGGTCAATACCTATAGATACATTTTTAGTGGGATGAACATCCATAAATCCCAGCTATTTTGGCGTTCACTAGGTACCAGGGTTTTGACCCATCCCCATATCTTCCCAGCTTCCAAGTTAAGAGTCAAAATATCTCAAGTGATCTCCACGACAGCAGTATTCTCAGCACTCCAACACAAGAAAGAACTTATCCCACGTAGAAGCCATGGGCAGTGGCGCCGGCAAGCACAAGTATGAGGTGAAGGCCACGGACCTTTCATAAACGCCCTTGGAGTTCATCAGAACTACCCAGGTGTGTTTTTTTCTGATTTTTTGGTCCCATCAAAAAACTGCCAAGTTCATCGAAAAACTCTGGAGCTGTGCCAGTAGCTGGGAGGACCCAAGTGGCGCCAAGACTGTGCATGTGGAGCCCAAAGATGAGACTGCTCCGAAGTTTATGCGATCCCTGTCGCCCCTACCAGAGGAGGCAGAAAGCCTCCTGAATCACCGATGGGCTAGACCATCTTGGGTACCTATTCTATTGTCATTTGGGTTTGCCTCAAACTGGAAATGTTACCTGGAACATGTGGCTTCAATGGGAAATATGGAGTTCAAAAGTATTCGAAACCATTCAAAACCGCTCAAAAGCATTGAAAGTTGGGGTACTTTATGTTTGGATATGTTTGGACAAGTTGAAATACCCCCCAAACCAACCCCATCAAATGATCCATCGGTGCTCCGGTCTGACTTCTCCATGACTTGGCCGCGGCCCTGCACAGCCCATGCTCCTCTGTGCGGATGTGGGTGGCACCAATACGCGGTTGCACCTCTTCAAAGTGCCGGAGCGCACAAGGGCGGAGAGGGCAGTTGTAGAGATGACGGATGAGAGGTATTCCGCAGATGAATATGTTTACATATGTTATAAATATATATAATTATGTGTGTGTGCGCGCGCACAGCACATATATATATATATACATGTATATTTGTGTGTGTGACGCATAGCTTACAATGAGAATATAAGAAGGATCTAATTGGCATATCATGGGATCTATCTATCTAAATCCTGTAACAATATGTGTGGGTTTGTCTGAAAATGGGGTATACCATACCCCTAAATGGCCAGTCTCGTTGGGAAAAATAGGATCGACCATGGGAGTTTAGGGTAAGTTACCCTATCTTTCAAAAAAAACACAAAACACATACTCGTATGATCTCGTATGTATGTATATTATATATATAGAGAGAGAGAGGTTCATGCTGTTGGTGTGCTGATGATGTTTGATCTTAGTTCATGCCCAATTAAAATTTTGGAGAAATATCTGCAGGTCCTTCCGGGAATTTTGGGAAATTTTGGTTCCTGGATTTCCCGGAAGGACCTGAGGAAATTGGCAACTGGTTAGGTGAACTCGGGATTTTTTTCCGAATTGCCAAGATTACATCCAAATGCTCATGTGGCTATGGACCAATACCTATAGATACAATTTGTTAGGGGATGAACATTCATTTACCAGCAATTTTGATGTTCACTAGGTGCCAGGGTTTTGACCCATCCCCATGTTTGTAATCTTGAAATCCAAAACATAACTAACATAACCACGGTAGTATAATGAAATCATATGAAATCCAAAACATCACCACGTGTTTTTTCTGGTGTTTCAACGCAACCTTTCTTGTTCACTGATTTTTCAAGCTTTGCAGGACACCACAACGGCGGTTGTCCCGGACTCCTGCATGGTGTACCAGGTGGGGAACTTCGGCCCGCTGGAACTTTGGGTAGACTCCCAGCTGGTTTGCATGACTTCTCAAACTGATCATTATGATATGGTTAATGTGTATACTGATATACTATCAGCATCTATTAGCCAATATAATGATCATATTATCAAGTATGTACCTTCTCGGACATGTTGATGTGTTCTGATCATCTTTCGAAGATCTGGTAAGGCTGGTACTGCTACTGGTTAAAAGCTGTGAAAGCTGCTGTCAGATCCTGTCCCACAATTTCCCAGAGGCCAAGTATTCCAATGTGCAGTATGACTCCTTCACAGAGGCAGATCTGGCGGACTCTTCCTGAATGGAAACAGACTGTACGAATGCGGACGTTTCCTCGAATTCGTGTTTCAGGAAAGGTGTGAAAACTACAGTAAAACATAGTAAACCATGTAAAGCGCCATGTTTGATGATAAAATAATACAAGATACATATGGTTTCCCTGAAATCTATCCAACTTTTCACGGATAGATGTTGGACTTGACACGGAGCCAAATATCAGCGAGCCTGGTAGGTGGCAATGGAATTCCTAGATGCAGCCAAGCGGAATACCAAAGGCCTTGGTATGTTTGGGCACCCAACTGCCTTACACTACGCTGTGGTGTGATGGAAGGTACAGTGCCAGGATATGCCAAGATAGGAAGCAAGAGTGGATGTGTAGCTTCTAGTTTGCCAGTGAAATTATGCCATGGACTGCAATATGTTCATTTGGATGTGAAGTGAAAGTCAGGTCAGGTGGGAATTCAGCACAAAAATCTGTGCGTTTTCGTCAATAAATTTTACCAAGAAGAGATGCATAAAGAGTGGCGGTAGAGATATGACACAATGATGCGCACGTCTTCAACCAACGATTTCCAGAAAGTCCGGGGTTGCGGCTGACGCAAACCACTTGAACGTATTTCCACAGAGGCTCCTATATCCTCAAGGATGGGTGAGATAAACCATCCCCAAATGGTAGGTTTATTTTTTGGATTATTTTTACATTTTTTGGGTTGCCCACATTATATATATAATTATATATGTACACACATACACACATACACACATACATACACACATCCATCCATCCATCCATCCATCCATCCATCCATACATACATACTTACATACTTACATACTTACATACTTACATACTTACATACTTACATACTTACATACATACATACATACATAGATGTATATGTGCGTATACATATATATATATACATATACATACATACATGTATATGTGCGTATACATATATATATATATACATATATACATACATGCATGTATATGTGCGTATACATATATATATATATACATATATACATACATACATGTATATGTGCGTATACATATATATATATACATATATACATACATACACGTATATGTGCGTATACATATATATATACATATATATATATACATATATATATATACATATATATATATATACATATATATATATATCTATCTGTCGATTGTCAGCCTAAATCCTCCTGGTTTGGTGGAAAAAGAAGAGCCTCCGGCAGCCCAGGTCAGCTCCCTACCTGGGATGTTTTGCAGTCGCGGGCGTGGTGGTAGACAACAAGCCGGGATCCTAGAGGACTTCATGTCGTTTTCAATCGAAAACTCCATGGTTTTGTCCATGGGTAAAAAAATGTTTGATGGGGTATGCAACCTGTAACCAACTACAGCATGATGTGGGAAAATGATGGAAACTGATTCTTCCGAGCTCAGGTTTTGAAGGTTCGTTGTGGTTGCATGATGGTAAATTATCAGGGGGGAATGCCACTGGGAAGTCACACCAGGTGCAACTTGGTGAACCTCGGTTGGAAGATGGACGGCAATCAGATTGCGAAGGTGCCACGGGTTGCTGCCTTCTCAGTGCATAGGTGTGGCCATGGTCATTCAAGTAGAAACCCCAGGATCTCTCATCTTTTTGGGATCTTTTTATTGCAACCTCCAGATGTTTCAGGAGAACAGGAGAAGCGTGTTGCGTAGGAAAAAGACTCATGCTGCGAGGATCTGGGGATGAGGGTGGTGTACCTCATGAATGATTTCGAGGCTCAAGGCAGGGAAAAGGGAAATTCTATCATGGTGGCAGTGGTAATGTTTGAGCCATACCATGACCTTATCGTTCATCAGTTCCGGGGGATACTCCAGGCATGATGAGAATTTCATGAGGGGACATCTTGGAAATGAAAATCATGGTTTGTTCATTGATCAAGTTTAATAAATCATTGACTTGTGTGGCGATGAAGCCGCAGGTTATGGCATTTTGACCTTGGAGCCTCAGAAGGATTGCGACGTGCTCCAGGACGCTTGAAAAATGCTGAAACTCCAGCAGAAATCAGCGCAACAGGAAGGAAGTTGATATTATGGAAATCCTTGGGATCATCTTAGATTGATGTTTCAAGGTTGAAGGTTTTGAATGCTTTTGATTCAACGCAAAGGAGAGAAACCCCTCACCCGCAACAGCAGCTTTCACCCCCTGCAAGAACTGGGATGGTAGTCCTCTTCAAGGAGCACTTCAAATTTTGGCTCCACAAAAAAGTATCAAAGACCAGCAGCATCCACCCAAAATTGCTGCATTTGGGGTTGTCCCAACCTTGGTGAGGCCATTTTTCGGTGCTGTCGTTGTGCCAGGATGCTCCTTTGCTTCCGGGCGCACCTATTGCGCTACTGGGCGCGGGTCCGACATCCTCAGGGCTGCCAGGTCTTGTTGGGTGAGGATCTCATGGGTTGACCCACAACTGGCTGGTGCCATTTTTTTGCGTTATCTTCGGTGTCCAAAGGGGATGATGATCATTGGACCTATTTTAGATGTTTTTCTCAAGGGTGATGACAAACAAAAGCATTATATAATATTATAAATTATATATATATACACACCCAACTCTATCATAGGTGGTTGATCCATTTGTTTCATCTCTTCCGCCCAATATGCCTGATGTTAAAGACCCTCGCATGTGGGCCCCCAAAATGAATAGATCCAATACTCAGAATATTTGGGGTTGGTATTTCAGAAAATTGGAGGAATGGGATTGAAGCAATGATGAATAATCCCCACATGTTTAGTGATTATAACCCCATCATGCCATCATATTGCCATTTGATGTTGAACAACTTAGGTACTGGTCTGGGACAAGCCTTTATGACAACTGGAGAGAATGGAGACTATGAGGCGCGGGTGATATGTCATGAGTAACACTGTGGGTTGAAATGTGTATAACATAATTGTTTGTGTATATATTTGGGTACACCTTGGTGAAGCGTAGTTTGAAAGTTTGATGTGTTTGTCATAAATGGAGATGTGCACGACTCTACCTAGCCATAAAACATGTTTTGCTGAGTATGAAAGATTGGCAGTATGTGCAGTCCAAAAAAAGATGGAAAGGCTACTTCCCACTGTTTTTATTGTACCAGCTGCTGATCTAAGTTTGGACCAGAGCCGGGGATGGTCACACAGCCAATCTCAGGAATCTCTGTGACGTTCCCCTGGTCACCCTCTGGTCGAACTTCACATAGCCATGGAACCTCACCATGTTTACCCTGTGGCAAACTAACACAGATGTGGAGAATCAGCATTTTTTACAAGTAATCCATAAACGGGCCATTTTCATCCATTTTCCACATCTATGGTAGTTTAGCCTAGGGCAACAGCTAAATCATCAGACCTTATCCAGGGCCAGCCCTGTCGGCCCTGGCAGCGGCGGCCCTGCAAACCTGGAGGTCTGGCCGTCTGAAGGTGGTCATAAGGAGTTTGCTCCTCGACAAGAAGGAAGTCAAAACCTGCAGAGTGAAATGATGAAGTGCTCCAGAGCAACATGGCTTTTATGGCTTTTATTTTTCTGGCAAAAATATGGTTCGTGGTTTCTCCAAATTGATATCTTTTGGAGATCCAACTGGAGTCAGTTGGTTCAGGGTACCGAAGCCACTTGAGTGGAAGCCAAGAAGCCATTTGATGGGATTCTGGGTGTTGACCTCAAAAATCCGCGATCTGGTTTTCGTTCACCAAAAGTGCCATATTGTACCTATATCCCAAATAGAATCCCATAATACTCGTAATAGTTGGTACCATAGAATATCATAATCCCATATGAATATCCAAATTGATCTACATCCATAGAATATCCCCATCATGAATAGTTGGTCACATCCCCTACCCTGGACAGGTACTTGCAAATCCGCTTCAGCGCAAAGTCGCGAATCAGCGTGGAACGCATCGTGAGCGGAAGAGGTGCCACCAAAGCAGTTGATTTCCAGCAAGCGAAGGCGCTTGCAACAGGGTAAGATAAAGATAGCTGATTGGTTCTGTTCCTCGTACTTATTTGTTTGTTTATAGTTATTAATACTATTTAATTATATCAATTATATCAATGATATCTATTAATATAATATTTATTTGTATTTATTTATATGTCTGTATTTATTTGTATTTATTTATAGATCGATTGTTTTTTATTTAGTTGTCCTTATTCATTTATTTGGGGTGTGTTCACACGTGATTATTTTTTTTCTAGCTGGTGAAAACCACCAGATATGTATCATGTGGTTCATGACGGTTTCTGAATTTCTTTATGTTCAAAGTTCAAACTATGCTTAACCAACAATACATGATTTCTGTTGTTGAAGCATGTTCAAACCATACCCCCACCAAAACACTCAGTTGCTCCAGGTATTGCGAACATCTATCAGTTTATGGCCTGGAAATTCCCAGACAAGATCAATAAGGATTGCGGGCCCTTGGAAGCAGCGCGGCGATGAATTAGCGATGAAGGTTGCATCCCTGTGGAGAGACCCCTGTATGGTAAAGGATTCGATGGAAGCGGAGAAGCGGGGACGTGGATGAGTTTTTTTCATGTATGAAAATGGAGTGCCTCATGGTTCATCACATTTTTCCGACTAAAACTGCAGGTTTGGGGTATTGAGACAGAGCCTAATCTACCAAATTCCGGATATTCCGGTATGCTTTACCTTGCCGCATCCCCACGTCACCTCGTTGGCCTTGTCAAAGATTCAACACTCCATTCCGGCCTCAGATATCTTCAGATCCCAACTCCCATGATATTTAATCTATACATGTTTTGAGGGGGAACATGATGGCTTGACACAAGATAGGGCATGTCAATAATAAATCTTCCAATATGATATATCAAATGCTCTTTCAGGATATGGGCATATTTTTGTATGGCCAAAGTTTAGGTACCCCAAGAATTAGAGGGTTACCCTCTGGTAAACGTTTACATAGCTATGGAAAGATCCACCATTTTTCATGGGAAAACTCACTATAAATGGCCATTTTCAATAGCTATGTTAAATTACCAGAGGGTAACAGTTAACACTAACAATAGACTAAGATCTGTCGTCTCCTGGGTCTTCAGTTTTGACTCACACCCATCTGGAGCTTTCGAAAAAAATGGTGGTACCTCCCAATAAACATCCAAAAAAAAAGACCGGTTTAGTATTAAGACCTATGGTTTCCGGGATCCCCCATTTGAAGAAACCCCGATACATACATACATACATACATACATACATACATACATACATACATACATACATACATACATACATACATACATACATACATACATACATACATACATACATACATACATACATACATACATACATACATACATACATACATACATACATACAACATACATACATACATACATACATACATACATACATACATACATACATACATACATACATACATACATACATACATACATACATACATACATACATACATACATACATACATACATACATACATTTACATACATACATACATACATTTACATACATACATACATACAGACAGACAGACAGACATACAGACATACAGACATACAGACATACAGACATACAGACATACAGACATACAGACATACAGACATACAGTTATTGGATGGGAGCATACAGTTATATGTATCCATTAGATCATCCAAATATATTTATACAATCGTATTTATCTCCAACCACCTGGCCACGTTGCCAGGAGATCCATCAACTCTTCAGCAACGGCGCGCGCAAGGACGGCACCGTGGGGCCGGTGTGCGGAAGCTCAGGGGACCACGTCCGGATGCGCCATGACGGCTCCTTGGATCGGGGGTTGGGATGGTCCAACAAAATAATGGTGTCCTAATGTAGATCTTATATGATCTTAATTAGGTATTGGCAGGGATTCTTCAGATAATACCTGGTAATACTTGGTATCTACATAGTACCAATGGGTTCTGATTGGTATGTTTCCTGGTTATTACCCAAACTTTCAGGGTGGGTACCTGGTATCCCTGATATACTTCAGACCAAGGCACGACCCCGCCGTGATCGTTGAGGCCAGCAACTCAGGTTGCGCAGCCTTTGGGTGTGAAAGGTTTGGAAGCCCCTAATGGCTGGGTAACCCTTTGGATGGGTGGTCGGGTAGTCCTAACTAATCTTTGACTATAGATGGGAATAGTGTGGAATAACCAGCTAAAACATGCTAAAACAAGAACAGTTCTTTGCGAGATATCTCATGTTGACCATGCAGACCCACAGATGTCAAATTAGGATCTATAAGGCCTGTGTTGTGGAGATATTTCCCTACATAGCCCGGAATAGCCGAGGCCGCCAGGAGCGGTAGCTGCGAGCTGTGTTTGAAGACGATGGACCTGTTCACTGGGGCATATGGATCAGAGGTGCCGGCCCCCTGGATCCCCCTGGTGCCCTGGGGCCCGCTGATGATACTGATGGTATACTTGAGGGTGGGATTCTGAGAGTCCCCCCGGGCTGGGGTTGTTTCGTCGGTGATTGTTTGGACTTTCCCAATGGGAAAAAACACCATTTGGGGAATCCATAGGGAAGATGTTTTATTTTGGGAGGGCCATGGGCAAATCCAAGTTGCGGGTGATAATACCATTCCCTCAAGCAGAGATCGGAAATGGAAGACAGTTCTTTCCGCCAAAAGCAAGTGAATTCTCAGGGTTGATGTTTGGTGGGAATTGCTCGCAACCCAGGTAGCCAGGGTTATTGTAGGATCATTTTTATGCAGAGAAAATGGTTTTGGAATAGGCCAATTTGGGTAATAGCCTGATGAATCATCATCAAAAGTGGAAAAAGGATACCCTCTGGTTATTTAACATAGCCATGGAGAATGGCCCATTTATAGATGGTTTACCTATTAAAAATGGTGGATCTTTCCATGGCTATGTTAAATAACCATAGGATACCATCTTTGATCATTTCTGATCCACTTTTGGTGGATTCGTTTGCAGAAGATCCAATAAGAAGCCTGATATCCTGGTCACAGGCGGGGGTGATGGCGCTGAAGTTTATGCCCTTTGGTGGGCTCTTCGTTTCTTGAGCCAAGTTGAGCGGATTGGTGAAGGTCCTATGTCAGTATGTCCTGGAAGACCTACTTGAAGATACCCTCTGGTGAACTAACATAGCTATGGAAAATCACCATTTTTCATGGGAAAATCCACTATAAATGGCCATTGTCCATTGCTATGGTAGTTCACCAGAGGGTATCTTGAAGTATTGAGATGAATTTGGGGCTGATTGAACTGCTTGGTGGCTAAAAACCTCCGGATACTGGGTGATACATGGTGATACTGGGTGATGTTTGGAAGTAACCGCTTGGTGGCTTGGGTTCAAATTCTTGATGTGAGATAGCTCCAGGATCTTGTCGCAGCATGATAGCTACCTCGATGTTTCCCGGATGGGGATACCACTTCTGAACTGTGGATAGACAGTACATTCACCTTCACTACCCATTCACCCTCCATGTGTCCATTCTTTGATAAATAGATATCACATATGATCATATGAATTTGCATATCTATCGTGTGTGAAACTTCTGCGTTTGTTTCAATCACATGTCTTCATCTTTGCCTTTCAAATGGCTCAACCACCCCCCCAGCATCCCCTAGGTCACTGGCGGCGTTTCCGCAAAGACTCGTGGCGGCCCAAGCAATGATTTGGATTTGTCTGCTACCTAGAAAGGCACCAGATGTTTTTTGCAACCCGCAGAAAGATGCAGAAAAGTGTTTCCAGGATGTTATAGCTCATATTGATATGAATATGTCATACTTCAGCATATGTCCAGGTTTCCTACTTTTCTAGGTATTTGCGGTTACTATCGTACTATAGTGATACATCAGGATTGGGAGAGTGAACATCCACGAGGATTTCTTGTTTTGTACATCAAAAAATGGGTAGTAGAAACCATCAATCCATATGGGTTATGGCATTCCGTTACCATTCCATGATGGGATCTTGATGGATCCATAGCCATAGCCGTAGCATTCACGATGTGATCATCTTGTGAATGACGTGACATCAGGTGACTTCATTCTGGGTGAGAAGGGCACAGCGTGCCTTGGCTGAGAACCATCCTGGAATGAATTTTTATCCCAGGATTTATCCAAATATTATCCCTTCCATAACAGATATAACAGTGACATCTTGGAAGATTTCTCCCCTGAATTATCCCAGCTTTGAAAAGATGGCTACTCGTAGGATGGCAACCAAAGGCCACAGCTTTCTCAGGTCGTTTCATTTTTCGGTGCTTTTTAGAGAGCAAATGGATCAAGTGGATGTGGCTCTGAGGCATAATTTCATGGATTCCTTCAATGACAAGGGACGTGTGTCAACGATGCTGACGCTCGGCAAAATGCTTCAGCATTTGGAGAAAAATGAAAAATGTGTCAAAAATGTATAGAAATTTAGAGAAATGTGTCAGAATGATGTAAATTGCTGGTTTCAAACTCTGTTCACTTTCCGTCCCTGCTTGAAGTTGACTATCATGTTTGGGAAGGGCTGAAACCACGAACCAGTGGAAGAATTGGACATGTACTTACATTGGTGATCAAATAGATGCAAAAAGGGCGCTCATTTGAAAATTTACGGGAACCCTCGGGGGATTGTACTTGCTCCTGAAAAGAATGCTGCCATCCACAGTTACCTCGTGTCTGCACACCAGGAAAAGAGTACCTGTCGGGGGCCCAGCGGAAATGGTGACCCTCTGATGAGTTGTGAGCTCTTCTTTAGCATGACCTAAACTCATGTGTGATAAGGGCATATAAGGACCTTTAAAAAGCGTGCCACAATTTCTAGTCAATATGGACAGGGAATCTCCAACACTCTGGACCCTCCGAAGACCGTATTTTTGAAGGTCGTCTTGAGTTGCCCTATGTATATATATATATATATACACATATATATATATATGATTATATATGTATATTATTTAAATAATCTATGTTGGAGTTGAGTCAGATATCCCCCCCACGTTTCCTGTGGGACTTGAGTTTCTTCTGGTTTCCTTTATTCCAGGGTTGGAGCTGAACAGCTGAAGCAGGTCTTTTTGGTGAGGGGCGAGGATATGGGCGAACGCGGCGTCAAGCTGAAGGTGTGGGTCTTCCTTTGATGGATGGAGACGATCTAGTTGCACTTTGGGTTACTGAAATATGTTTTCAATGGCCATGCAACAGGATCCAATTGATTGGAGGTACCTACCATTAATATAAGGCCTATTTTTGAGGCCTATGTAAGGGAATATCCCCATTGATGTTTCAAGAACATTAAAGAACTGAAGCATCAAAAGGCATGAGTTTGGGATCGAACCGCATCAGCCTTTGATAGTCCAACACTGCTTCGACCACACGGTGCACACGCCGACCTAAGATATGCCAAACCCAGATGGCCGCTGTATCTGGATGTGGTGGGTCAATTGTGCGATGAAAATGGAACGGTCCCCAGCGATGTGGGGTTTCCCCCCGAAACCAGGAAATGCGTCAACAAAGAATCCAGGCATCAACTCACAATGTGGTGCGATGATGTACCATCACACCCAAGAATGTAGTGTAAACATGTGTAAACCATATAAACATATAAACCATACCCTCCATTTGATTCTCATTGACTTAGCTTCGAAGATTGGAGTGCTTTTGGGGGTTACCACGTGTGTTTCCCCAGTTTCACCAGGGCCCCAGTTCCACAGGCCATGAGGATGTTTGCTGAAGCTCTGCAGAGAAGGATGGCATCTAAGGGTAGACAACAATATTGTTAGATAACCAGCTTGAGGCTGGTGGTTTCCCAGCCAAACATCTGGAGATTTGATGATATGTGGCTCTTTTTTCTGATGGATGATATTTGACTATACAGTATTCATCGGTGTTATATATGGGGGTACAAGATGGTATCAGCCGATTGTTTCACCTCAATCCCAGTTGGTTTGATGATTTTCAGGTCATACTAGCCGGGTTACCCAATAGATGAAGGATGATTATAATGAATCATAATCTACGAACTGGGAGGTCCACATCAGAACCATTGTTTTGGAGATTTTCCCTATAGATACAAGGTTGTATAGCCTATGACGGTCGAAACCACCAACCCAGTAGTGTGGGAGATAACTGACTGCGAACGTTGCAGTCAGTTGGTGATGGATTGGGAAGGAAGTAGGGAACATGTTGGAACATGTTGGAACCCTTCTGTTGAAGAAAAACACAGCATCCAGGATGGCGTTTCCCCAAAGTGTCCTTTCCCAAATCCATTCCCACCATGAATTTCATGGCCCAGAACTGCGGCGCTGATAATTTTAAGCAGCGGAAGGCAGTTCGTCAAAGTGGCCAAGTCTATGTGATGACCGTTCTCAAGAAATGCCTGGTTCCAAATATGTCGTGTTTTACTTGGGGATTGTATCCGCAAGTTCCTGTCTCTCCCTCCAGTTTGAAGATGCCAATTCGGACCCCAACAAAAAGAGATTTTTGCCTCATTTCCTCTGAGAGGAAGGGCTGAAAACCTCAGAAGTGAGGACAAACTGGCACAATGCCAAGACATTCCAACTACTCTCTGGGCCGGTTCCAGCAAAATAGCATGACTGGTGCCTGCTGCTTTGTGGCAGAGCTTCTGGGAAGCAATGTTTGTTCCTGGCCGCTGGGGGTTTGAAGACTGAAACCTGTTACGTGGTATGTCCTGGTGACATGATTGGGAAGGGATTTGGGATTTGGAGGCATGTTTCTCGCTGAGAGTCTTGGAACCAAGGAACCTTAAGGGAAAAATGCATGTGACGCCATGGAAACGCTTGGCGTGTCGGCGTTTGAGGCCAGGATTGGTTGATCATCATGTTGGGGTTCATGGCTACCCCATGTTCAGACAAACCCAAGTATTGTATAAATCCATCTATATTGAATCCATATCATATCCCATTATGTATATATATAATTCTATATATAAATATACATATATATATATATATATATATATGGTCCAGCGTTCCAACCCCCCGGCCATGGTCATGGGTCAGCCATAGTACTGTCCCCATCTGTCCCCCCCTCGTAGTTCATGTATGACAATATATATATATATATATATATGGCATGGTGGGTATGGTGAGTATGGTATGTAATCATCTCATGTACGGTATGTTAGATATGTATGGTATGTTTGGAATGTATGGTATGTTTGCTATGTATGGCAGGTATGGTATGTATGGCATGTATGGTTGGTATTGTATGGATGGTATGTGTGGTATGTAAGTATACGGGTAGTTCATAAGCACGATATAGAAGCATGTGCGTAGTAAGTCCCTAGCATGCAGGAAAGATATGTTAAACACATGTAGTGTGGGTACTTTGAGAGAGTATGTGTGCTACGTAGGTCGTCTAAAAGGTAGCATACCTAGTAAATGCGAGGCTGGTAGTCACAAATGCTGCAAAGACCTAGCAAATACGAGGCTGGACCTCAGAAACGCTGCCAATAGCTTGCAAATAGAAGGGAAGGGGTGCTACCTGGGGACCCATACCATTGGGGACGGGGGGTAGGAACACGGAACACGAGACCATATATACACACGTAAAAATACATGTGTATATATATATATATACATATGTATATATATATATACATATCATATGTATATATATATACATATATATATATACATATGTATATATATCCCCATGACAGATCCACATTAAGTCCATATTATCTCCACCTGAGATCTTCGGCCCACATTTAGCCTGGGCGCAGGCCAAGATGTTTTAGCGCACGGGTGGAAGCAACGAAGCGCTGGTTGGATTCCATCGTCATTGGTGGCCCGGCAGGGGTTAACCCCCAGTAGTTGGGGGGTGAGATGGTGAGGCGCAGGTAAAATTATCATCCTAGATATACATATATCAATTATTAATATATCATTATTATTATTACTATTATTATCAGCGTTAGTATTAATACTGAATACATGATCAGTTTTCCAATAAGAATTGGGAATTCCTCTTGACCTATCCACAGGGACGGGATGGCGGTTCCCGACCTCGAGGTGAAAAATTGTGCCCTTTTGCAGCTGCAGTCAAAGAGGAGTCCCTTTGCTGGGAAGGAAATTCCTTGGTGGCTGCGGCAAAGTGCCTGATAGCGATGGGTTGAACAGAATCAAGAGAGGAATCAAGGAGCTGTTGGATGGAACCTGTGCAAAATCTTTGAATCACATGCGTCTTTCCCATGTACTTTGAACTATTGAGTAGCACAAATCAAATAATAGTCTGCCATTGGTTAATTGATGGTTTGGCCCAGGAATCCCTCAAGCACGAAGCCACAAGTCGAGCAGTGGCTGCTAAACCCCTGATAAGTAGTTCGGGGATTCTGCGAACCATATCTAACCATTATATCGATTATTATGTATATAATATAGTACTATATATATATATTTATTTATTTATTTTATTTATTTATGCATTGCAGGGGATTATATGATACTAACCATGAATATGGTGGATTCTCACACTTCAACGGGGAATCCACAACAGCCATGGCTACCAGCGGCCCAGCCAGGACCAGAAGCTCCGGGTGCTCGCCAGCGAGGCCAAAGATGTCATGGTGCCTTTGGATTTCAGGTGTTGGAGGGGGAACACAACGGATCATTGGTTAAGAATGGAAAATCATTGGTTAATAGTGGTTAATACCGGTGAATAATGGTTAATAATGGTTATTAATAATGTTTAATGATGACATACTGTGGATGGGCCAGCGAAATCCGATAAACCACCAATTTTGGATGGTTGAAAGCCTATAAATAGTGGGATGTTTATGATGTTTACCATCTATCAACTGGTGCAGGATTTCGCAACCATCCACAGTATGTTGAGAAAGCACAGTCATAAACCATCCATATTATGGATTGATGATGGTGGTTGGAATCCCCATTTAAAAAAAAATGTAAATTTGGGGATGGTGTACTAATTGCTTTACCAACATCACTCAAAATGGCAACGTTCTAGGGAAATGTTAGTGATAAACCATAGGATAGACCATGGGGTGGCATGGGGGACCTTATTTACATCCCATTCTATCCCCAATTTCATATGGATATAGTGGGGATACATTTGGGGATGTAACAAGTCATGGCGCCATTGTCCATGGGGACGATGATGAAATCGCGGTAACATGAGGTAACCAATGAACAGAGTGCATCAAAGATGGGCGTGGTCCAAGAAGGGTCTTCTTGTGGTGTTCACTTTCTGCAGGCGAAGCCAATACAGAGGGATTGGGGAGAAATATTAGTGCGTTCTGTAATTTTGGGCCATAAGCCATATGGGTATGGATCAATACCTATTAATACCATTTTTAATGGGATGAACATCCATTTACCAGCTATTTTGGTGTTCACCCACGCATGTGCATGGCTGTGACACTAAAAAAAAGGGGCCAACAGCAGTGATGCCTGAGGCGCTGGCCAAAGAAGTGGCCATGGAGGCAGAGATGCTGGTGGATGGATTGAATGGTCAGCCAGGCACGGGATGGTCAAATCATGGAAGGTGGAAATTCCATCCTTTGGTTTACAGGGACCCAATACGGAACTAGCTGGGAAGTCGCATTTTGCTGGTCGATTGGTTCAGAATGGTAAGTTTTTGCACATCCACTGTTGCAGCCTTCCACGAGTCTTTTGGGACATTCAGTGTGTTGATGTGATCCGTAGATCGCTGATTTTGCTTGGCGATATTCGAACATTCGCAATGAAAGGAAGAGTGCGTGTTTAAAAAAATCTCCATGTGACGTGTGTCATCGTGGATGTGGTAAGGCTATACCTTTCTGGCTAGGGGGTTTGAAACATTCATTCTTTTTCAACCATACAAAAGGGATGATTGGTTGACATGACGAGCATATTTTTGAGATGGGTTGCATAGAACATGTTAAAACCACCAACCAGCTTTGGGTGGAAGCATCGCAGTTTCTCTTTGTTCCCTTTCAGGTGCACCAGAGACGACGCTTCTGGTTCTGGATCCATCACAGAGTTTCTGTGCCACCTGGCAAAGTTTCGTGCAAACGCGGCAGCCTCAGTCCCTTGATTGGTCGAGGCCTGAAGTGCCCCTGTTGATTGGGCAATTTGTCGTCAACAGTCACGCAGTGCTTCTGAGATTCTCGATTCTCCTAACTACAACAATATGTTCAAGAGAAAGTCGTCCAAGAATATTGCGCCAGTATCAAACAAGAACTAGTTGCATTGCATTACGTCGGACCGGGCAAATTGCCTAGAATGACCTATGAGTACAATTATCCCTCAGGTCCTGGACGCTACAACAGGAGGCCATCCATGCTCCAGGTGAGGCTTTCTTTGTGGCTAGCCTACAGGGCCCTGATTTCCACAACAGCCCTGGCTTCTTCAGGCCTGGGACGATCAGACCCCAGGGTTCGCCCAACCGCTGCAGGTTTCTCGGAGCTGCTGCAAATCGCCAGGGCCACGGGTTTCTTTCCGCGACTGTGGCAATAAACAAGAAACTACTTGAGTCGGAGTGCGGTGATTTTTTCGCATGTCACATTGTCACACCAATTGGATCCTATTGACATACCCTCTGGTTATTTAACATAGCCATGGAAAATGGCCCATAGAAATAGATGGTTTACCGTTCTTAAAAATGGTGGATCTTTCAATGGCAAACTGTTAGTCATAACCAGATGGTACATAAAAATGTGTCGTCATAGTGGCATCCTATTGGACCATGTCTCTGCACCATTGGTGACGCTCGGCCAAGGTCCTCTTCCATCCACAGGCTGTCCATAGCGTCTATGCCGAGGGTCCACCTGACCCAGCCGATTTCACCATCCGTGCACCGTTCCCAACGGTGCATTTGCTGAGATCCTTGGATGGGTTGGGTTGGGGTGAAGGGATTGGTAGATGTACTGTAGATGTGTGTATATATATACATATATACATATATATATGTAATTATATATATATTATTATATATTATTATATATTATTATATATTATTATATATTATTATATATTATTATATATTATTATATATCATTATATATTATTATATATTATTATATATTACTATATATTACTATATATTACTATATTGATATATATTGTAATTATATGTAATTATTGTAGATGTCCCATTTTGGGGGTAAAGGTGTAAAGTGTTTGAGTGTCACCTGAACGGCTGGTTTTGTTGGACATAACGCCTGGTATGTGTTGGTATGCATCGTCAAACTAAAGTGTTGACTTTCCATCAGCTTTTGGAAGGAAAGGTCGAACTTTGAACGATCCATATTAAAAGGGGCAGCCATGTAAAATGCTGGCTCCAGAGGTAAAAGGGGAGCAATGTACGAAAGAGATGACTTCGCAAAAACTGCTCAAGGGCACCTTCCTGCTTGAATACTGCCTTTCCATGACCAACAGATATACGGATGGCAACCCTTGCGGAAGAACTTACATCATCTTACATCGTTATCATCAATTTCCACCACTTGAAGTTTGCCATGTCCTCTGAACATGGTAACGATAATGGTAGAGTGTCCAGCCAGCTTTCTGACGGATGAAGCCCCAAGGAGAAGCCGATGTGATGAAAGCCGTTTGGCCCTCAGATGCTCTTGAAGCGCATTCGATGGGTGAAGGAGCTGCATGGGTTGGCCTCAACATCATCATCATCATCAACAACAACAACAACAGCAACAACAACAAACAAACAAACAAACAAACAACAACAACAGCAACAACAACAACAACAACTGGTTGGTGGTTTGGAACATTTTTTCCATACATTGGGAATAATAATCCCAACTGACTTTCATATTTTTCAGAGGGGTTGAAACCAACCAGACAATCATCATCAACATCAACATCATTTTCAGAGGCACCAACCCATCCATATCATCCGTTGCACATTGCTGACCAGACATTCAGGTCACCAGCTACCCAGACACTGCGCAAATCCCGGCGCGGAACAAGGCCAAGCTCCGCAGCAGGGGCTTGGCCTTTTGCGAAGAACGCTGGAGCGTGGTGGCTGGAAAAATCTGAAAGATCGATATGAGCTGGATTCAGTTACATTAAGCCACTCAGCCATATTGATAAGTTGGGTGAAGCCATGGATATTGTTGAGTTGCCCTGGAATTTTGCGGTGAGTTCTGATGGTGTTGGTGGAAAACGTGTTGACGGAGTACGTCACTCTTTTGGCCACTCCAACATTGTTATGTCATGGCTTTCACCTGCGTGAGTCTTAATGGTAGCAAATGTTCATTGATCCAGCAAGGAAGATCATGGAAGATCAAGTTTGCTGTCGCAGCTGATCCAGCTTGAGCCTCACTAGAGCGATGCAGAGTGGAGATGAGTGGAGGGATCTGATCATGTCCAAGTCCGGGATTGCCTACTTTTGAAAAGTCCCAGGCCCCAAACATCTTTGCCAAAGTCAATCGCCAAGGTCGATGATTGCTGAACTACTTCAGACTTATAGACTTATCAAAGCCAAACTTCCCGCCCCTCAAATGCCACAAAAATATCAAACAATCAAGTACTCCACAGTACTCGTATATGGAAGAAGTAGATGGCAGACTGTTTGAACCTTCCAGTTTTGAGTCTCTGCATGATATGACAATCCATGGATATTCAGGGCCTGATGGTTGAGTATCCCCATGTAGATAGGATGTTGGAACCCCCCATGGTTCCAAATCGTCCTGCAATGCCATGGACCAGTGGCATTAGTGGCACTGCGCTGGGATATTTGGTGCTGGTCATTGGCTTCGGAGTGGTTCTGCACCCTGAGCTGAAGGCCTTCTACCGCCATGGCCACGGGAGCAACTCAGCGTGCCGTGTTGTTTGGGGAGGGATGGCGGCAGGGCGCGGAAATGAGTGGCTTGATTCAAAGGGTGCAGGAACATTAGGGATGGCCTGAAGATGAATTCACAGAGTTCATTCTGCTGTTGGATCGAGGAATGAAAAACACTGTGTCAGCCATCGACACGATCTTTGCGTGTCTCTTCTTGGGCCTTTTGCGTTTGGCCACTGGCATTTCTGATCGCCCCATGTGGGAGAAGTTGCGATGGGCTATTCCACCCGGAGTCTTCGTGCCGCTGGGACCGGGACTTGAGATTTGTCTAGAGATCGTGTTTTGGTCGTGACCTAGCCCTTTGCGGTGAAGATGGTGAAGTTAATCGTGTTGTTTGTTTTACCCTTGTTCTGATCTAGTTCATTCTAGTTCTATAGAGGTGTTGACCAAACAGCACTGGTTTCCCTTGTGAATCCCTTGTGAATCGCTTGTGAAATGGCCCTAGAGCTGTTCCTCAGCCCATGTTACAATTCTGCCCAAAAGCATCAAACTCTCCAGGTACCAAAACTCTCGCTGGATCATGTGTTGGTCCAATTCTGCCCCAAAAAAATATAGATAAATGATGAAATGATCATCAAACATCAAGAAAGATAAGAAAGATAGTTTAAATATGTTGTAAATCCCCATGAAAATCACTGAACATCCACCCATTTGGAGGTTTCTGGTGATCACCCTTTCCACCTGGGCGAACTTCCTCAGCTACCAGAGCTTCGCGCTCTCCGCCCCCAGCGAGCTGATCTTCGTCTGGATCTTCGCGCGGCTGCTGCAGCCGCAGGAGCGCCGGCGGCCGTGCTACCTGGACCTGCCGCCGGTGGCGCGGCAAACGAAAAAATCTGCTGAGCTGGGAAGAAATGGGTTTGTCTGAAAATAGGGTATATTCCCAATTATAGCCATTTAATAGGGATAATGATCATTAACCATTGGGTTTAGGGGTACACTATTTTCAGACAAACCCAAATGATGGAAAAAATGATGGAAAAATAGTGCAGTGCATGGAAGTTCACACACAGCTTGGTCATGGTTGATTGGTTGATGAATGATGGTTGTTCCCTTTGTGTTCCCAGCCTTTGGATAATTATGTCCAATTGCCGAATATGTTCAGGGGATGTATCATGTTTCATCACCTACAAAATGGAAAGGCAGGTGGATTGTGGATGATCTGGTTACATTGCATCTATAATTGGACAGGCGGATTGGCGTCATCTTATGGAAAGTTACGAAAAGCTCGATTTGAGGCGCGATGATAAGAAGTGCTACCCTTTTTGTTATAGTATGTTATAGGTGTGTCTTCAAATAAGATCAATATGATGAGCTTCAAAAGCTGGAATAGAATGTCGCCCCGCTTCCCCGTCTCTTGTTCAACAAGAAAGCAGTTCAAGATTCTAAACCTTAGAAAATAATATCCAACAAAAATCCTGAACATTTCACCCTTCATACCCCTATGCTGCACGGTGCTGAAATATTTACCAACATTTACCCCAATAATATGGACCAGATGTGGGTAAATCTTCCAGCACCATGGAGCACATGGGATAGGTTTTCCAGACTACGAGGCTCCAGGTTCTACCACAACTTTCCAGGACATTAAGACACATATAGCCACATCATCAACATCATCATCATCATCATCATCAGAGGGTGTTGATTCTAAAAAAAGACAACAAAATATCAACATCAAAACAATTTTTGGGACATAATATTGTTATGAAATGTTATGAATAAGTATAAATTTATATCATTAAAGTGGTGAAATCAGCCCAGATCCCATCCGAAGTCGTCCCAGGTTGTGGCCACCACGCTGGGCACTGTCCTGCTGAGCCTCTCTGAGATCTCCGGAGACGGAGGCGGTCACGGCGTCGAGGCCTTGGGGGCGGCGTTGCTGTGCCGCGCAGCGTCGGCGCTGATGATGGTGTCCTTAAGGAGCCCTGGGATGAGCGAATGAATGGGGATGATATGGGTATGGATCAATACCTATTTATACCATTTTTAGAGGGATGAACATCCATTTACCACCTATTTCAATGTTCATCAGGGCACCTGGGTTTTGATTTCTAGCCATATTAGGGTGACCAACCTTTGGGATGACATGTTGGGGGCATGTCAGGGAAGTGGATGGGAAAATTTGATGGAACTTGGATGGAATGCGGGGTGCCCCGAGGATGAAAGGATGTTGGGTGGAAGTACTGTAGGCAAGATGTGAAGATTTGAGCTAAACTGCGGGTAGAAGCACAAAAATGGAGATGGTGTCACAACCAAAATGGAAAAAACACACCTATGATTTATGGATGGTGTCAGGTCCGAAGAATGGAGAGGCCAACAGTCGTGTGTGCCTGATATGTTGCATTTTACTCGTACGCAACTCAAGAGGGGACGGATCAAAGTGCAGCCCCAAAGAACTCCAATTAAGACCATGTTGGTGGAGTCTTTAAGCCCAGCTCTTTTGCAGGAGTTGCTGTGTGGTGTTGGAGGGTGTGTCCAAGAAGGACACGGCAACTTGCACGGAACAGCTGTAAGATTGCGATCCCCGACGTTTTTGGTGGGTTTCTCAAAAATTGGGACCCTAGCAAACCCACAAAGACAGAGTTGGTATGGGTTATTGGGCTGGTGTTTCTTGAGCCCAAGTGCTAGCCGCAGCCTTGTTTTGGAGACTTTGGAGCACTTGACGTCAATGAGGTGAGTGTGGTTGAAATCGCCTACTGGAAGATGTTGGTAACCTCCTGCCTCTGCCTTCCATATGCTTTCCTCACTGAAGGCTCCGATCGGATGGCTGGATGAAGGGTGGCAAAGCCCGAAGAAACCATGAGTTGTGCTACAAATCTCCGCATGCTTACTGAATGAGTCATCCATGTTTCCTCTGGTTGAAACGATTGTTTACATGTATATGTATACAGATATATATATATATTATAGTGTGTATATATATATATTATATATAGACATATATATATATACATATATGATATAACAATAATACTACTGTATATATATATATATTAAAAGACCTGTATCCCTTGGTATTTTTTTCCCGCCAGGCTTAAGTCCCTGGAGATCCATGGGCTCCACAGCCTTTTGGGCGGATCAGAGCTCGGCCCTGCTGCTCTCCGGTAGTGTGCTGATCACCATGGGTGGCTGGGCGGATTCGTCTCCCAGGTAGTGGCTGAGGTCAAATCTTTGGAGGTCTCCCAACTATGGTTGAGTTGATTCTGATATATTAGTTTGATTCTGATATATGGTTGAGTTGACTTTCCACCTATTGGGAACAATAATCCGATTTGACTGTGACTTTCATATGTCCTATTGGTCCTAATGCTTGGGGATGGCATCCAACCATCCCCAAGCCACCTTCGACCTCCTGCAACGTCGCCAAGGATTCCAATGGTCCACCGTGGGGCTGAACCGATCCTTTCGCAGTCCCTTGTGTGCTTTGCTGGAAAGCACCTTGAAGCCCTTGACGGACGCTGGGCATTTCTTTCGTTTGGGGAGAAAAAAAGTGGTTGCTGGTAAGAGTCCATTGAAGTCTGGGGAAATTTATGGAAAATTGATGAAAATTGACGAGTTTTGTTTGGGGAATGGAGATATATGATGATATGGTATGTGGACGCTTTTGCAATTAGCAGTTGAACTAAGATTGTTGTCGGATGTTGTGGGTATTGGGATGTATTGGGGTCCGGGTCCCAATTGTTGTTGAATTGCTAGTCCCTCAAAATGCATTGTGTGTTTACAAAAGATCTTTGACTGCACACCGCAACTCGCGGATGGTGGAATGTCTGGAGAATTTTGTTGATTTTTTTGAGTATGTTCATGTCACATCTGAAGTGATATGGTTGTGGGGATTCAGGACCAGGTCCAATATACCAAGCCCCCAAGGCAAGATTTCTTGATTGGTCAATAAAGATCAGAAGTATCCTAAAAGTATCCTAAATTTCTTTAACATGGTGGGTCCTCCGTGGTCCTCCCAATAGAGCTCAAAAAAAAAAACTAGTATCAGTCAAGTATCAAAAAAGACTTGTTATTCCCGTAATATAATTATACATATACACATATATTGCCCCTATATAAAGCTGAACATACGTATAACATATCCCTTGGAGGGCCCATAAGTTTCACTGCCTTGCCGGATGTTGCGCCAAAATTGTTCAGGCTTGTGCCCTGGTTTTGGTCTTGGCAGACTCGCCGTACCAGAAGATCTTGGGGCTGAAACAGCCGAAGAATGCCACAGAATCTTGGTAGCTACTGGCATGATCCACCTAGTAAATTGGTCAGTAGATGGGAGTTTGTTATTTTGAAGCGTTTTGAGACTGGTGTTTAACGTTGGATTATGACTTTATAACCAGTATAACCAATTTGCATCCAAACTTGCTAGCCGCTAGCCACTTACCGTAAGTTTGGTGACCTTCCCTCTAGACTCAGTGCGCCCAGCGACCACGAGCCTTGTCGACTGTTCATGTTTCTTCCCTTCGATACAAACTGAAAAGCACATAAAAGAACCATATGCCATGTGGGGTTGGCTCAAGTTTCTTCGCCCAACAATTATAGATGGTTTTGTTCTGACAATGCTCAGCTGTCACGAGGACATCGTTGGCTTGTGCTGTCTGCTTCTGGGTTTACTTCTCAGCATCTGGTCGTCTCGCAGGAGACAGAGCCAAGTTTTTCAGGAACAGAGTGTGGAGTTCCTGGACAGAGCCAGTTGAAAATGTGGCCAGTTGATATGGCAAGATGGGACTGGTGGCAGTGCTGTTCAGCAGTATATTGCCTTTCGGAAAGTGAGGAGTAAAACAGATATACTGCTTCGATAGTATGACTGATCGTGTATGCTGCGGTATATATGTGCCCAATACTTTCAGCATTTCGATATACTGATACGTTGGTAATATTACCCTCTGGTTATTTAACGTAGCCATGGAAAATGGCCCATTTATAGATGGTTTCCCTATTAAAAATGGTGATTTTCCATGGCTATGTTAAATAATCAGATGGTAATATGATGTACTGCAGCATTCTCAGTGGGTTGACACATGTTGCATTGCTGTTGGGCCACCTCCAGATTTCTGGATAAGAGTTCGGAACTGCAGTTGTGACCACTGACTACTGCAGCACTCAATGATATGGATACGTCTTCACCAACTGGAGAGGAAACGGTTTCATCTCCCAAGCAAAGAACTGGATATCCTGGGAAAGGCAGGCCTCAAAACAACAGGTCTCAGAATGTCTCAGACGCATGTGAACCTCAAGTAAATGAAAGGTTACAAACGGATTACGAATATATACAAATATGTTTGCCCCTTTACCTGGAGTGCTGTTTCCTTCAAATTGGAATACCCTTCTGAAGACCTCTTAAAATGCAAGTCAGTCAAAGATGCCCCTGGGGAACGTCCCCTGACCCCATTGGATTTCATGGACGATGCAATGGAAGATGACGATCTGGCTGCAGCCATGGCCATGTCGATGGAGGTGGAGGCGGCGGTTAGATGGCAATGAAGTGCATGTAAAATCATGTAAATACATACAGAACTACAGATATGTGCTGTAATATCTATTTTATATATATAATATATAATTATATAGATATGTATATATCCAGCAATATCATATCATATATCATACTTTCCGTATTTAATTTGTAGAATGTGTGTAGTTGATAGCCTTCACGCTGTCACTGTCCTGTCCTCTCTGTCCAGGGCCCTGCGGCCAAAGCCGTGCGACAGCTGCGGGAGAAGAACTCCGAAGCACAGCTGGCGGAGGCGAGTTCCATCCAGGTGCTGTCCACTTTGTTGGGAAACTTGGCACCTCAGCGGCATTGGGGGTTGATGGCCCAAGGATATCCAAGGATGGTGGACCCAAGTGCTTGATATGTCGGAGAAAATGAGATGATACATGATAATACATGATATAGTTTTGAGCTGCTTCTTTCAAGTTGTGATTTCACAGAGTCTTCACATTTCCACTCCCCCCGTGGGAATATGTTCATCAAACTGGCCAGACTTCTGTGTAAGAGGAGTAGTTCACCAGCCAGTGGCCAGTGGCCAGGTGAAGAGTCCTTCTGAGGAGTCCGTCTCACACCTTTTCGGTGCGGTTTGGGAGTGGAAAAGGAGGTCATGTTGAACTCACTACAGTATGGGTCCAAAAGTTCCAAACAACATTTGAACAGTGGCTGTGAGAGACTCCCATCGATTGATGATTGTCGGGAAATTTACTACTCAATGTATTGGGGATTGTCATGGATTGTCATAAGCATCCGATTTCTGAAGCAGCTTGTTGGGTTCCTAACTTTCCTCCTTTTTGTGATGTCCTCAAGGCCAAGTTGCATGTTCCAACTTATCACCAGGAGAAGTATCGAAGAGTGAAACTTTCGAACAAGAAAATCAGCAGCTCGGCTGCTCGCTTCATGAACCAACTGCCATGGGACCTAGCAGGGAGAGGCAGGGGGATACTTCTCTGTCACGAATGCAGACATTATTTTTGTTGTATTGATCGGGATGCATTGCCTCTCCCAACGTTGGGGAGATTTAACAACCTCGCCATGCTGCAAAATCACTTCGACTATTCATTTGTGCTGCAAAATCAGTTTCCATGATTGGTGGCGATCCCATTTCTCTGGGAACTGCATGTCTTTTTCCCCCCCAGAAATTTAAAGATGTGTTCGTCCCGCTACAAGCCATAGCTGCCGGTACGATCTCCTTCTTTTTGCTGAAGGTATGGCCTTGAGCTGTGCTGGTGCAGAAGAGTTATTGGGAGCTGCAGGTTTTGCGAAGACAGAGGACCAGTTGGAGGTTGGGACTGGCTGAGGTCTGTTGGAGCCTGGTTTCAGAAATTCAATACTTAAGAGCTACTGAAGAATCTGACATGGGTTGAAGATGCGTTTGTTTCTTGAATGCTGACGCATATGCAATCAGTGTTATTGCTGGCTGGATGATATATTCATGTATGATCATGGACAAGTAGGTCCTAGTGCTCGGGGTCACCGTGGCAGGTGCCCTCCGACTCCCCGCCAGAAAAGGTGAAGGTGGGCTCCCGCAGTCAAACGGCTGGGGTGTACACGATTTTTTGCTTGGAGTCATCCGACATGCGGGGATGCACTCTTGACCCAGCCCATTATTTGCTTCCAAGTGCTGCCCAGGGAGGATTAACTCCCTAAGTCATGGCACAATCTCGGCAAAACCCGCAGATTTGCGAGGCAGATGCTGAAGCCGCTCTGGAGGCACCCACCCGTAAAAACGGTGATGTACCATTCAGGTTGATAGATATCCTGATTTGCAAAAATGGGTATGGGTCAAAATTAGGTACCCCAATAATCGGATGGTTAATACTAAACTAGACTAACATCTGTGGTCCCCTAGATCTTCCATTTTGACCCACATCCAAATCTGGACAGGGCAAAATGAAGCGGTGCCTCTGAAAACTCATGAAAACTCGAGGCCTTGAGCTTCGTGAAGGGTCACATGGTGCTGTCAGCGCAGTTGCGCGCTGAAGGTCGGAAATCCTGTGGCGTTCCTCTTGTTTGGTGGGGACGGTGCCGGTGGTGTTGGTGTGTTTTAGGATTCTTACAATTTGTCAAGTGATCTCGTCCATCACATCAGTAGGGAGGTCGTTGAAGTGATGTTTGCAGCAGGCGAAGTTCGCTGTGTGACCACACTCGCATCCGGCGGCCTTGCTTTCGGCAGCATGGAAGCTTGGCTCTGACACAGGAAAGTGGAAGACAGGAAAGTGGAAGGCTCCCAAAAATTGGCGAATATAAAGGGGAATTGTGGGGATATATATATATATATAGTGGTCTACTCAAACCAAGTATGGAATAACATGGACAGTGATGGTCAACCATAAAACTTTTTGGGGCTGCCTTACTTGCAGACAAAACCACTTGGCCAACTCGAAGGCCGTTTAGCCACACAGCCATCTCCAATGGTTCCATAGGTTCACTGGACAGTTAGTCAGATATGAGATATTGTTTGATTTGTTTGAAACAACATAAAGCATGCATGACTCGCACCATGTTGCTTCATGAATAATGAATTTGAGTTTGTGGGCTCAAGTTTGCTGTGCTCAGGGGGCAAGTTTGTAGGCTTGTAGACTGTCCATGGAGTAAAACAATCCCCCAAAGGCCTTTGGGTTGATATGGGCTGACCCTGCTGGCCAAGGGCTGTTTTCAGCCCCATGTGCTCTGATCAGAGACGGTCACAAAGCTTACCTGCACAGGACAACCTGATCCGCGTCTACGGCGCCCCTGTCTCCGGCGGCTTTTCACAGCCACGGATCTTGTCGGGACACCAGCGTCGCGCAGGTGTGGACGGCGTTTTGGCGCTGGTGGTGATGGAAGGTGACCAGCTGGTATCTGCTGGGCGCGATGGCCGCATCATAGTGTGGAAAGATGGGGTTGAGGCAGGGGATGAGATGGGAAGGCAGGTCTAGTTTTGTGGTTGCTCAACAGCTGTTCCCACATCCTCTGCAACTCCTAGCAGCCAAGCAACTTCATACCTCAGCAGCAGAACTGGCGTTAGGAAACTTAAGGACATTCATGTGCACCGGAGTGCTTCTTGGAAATGTAGGTCAGTCAAAACCTACAAAAATCATTATAGGTCAGCAAAAGACCTATAATATATATATATATATATACATATTTATATATACATGCATGCATGCATACATACATACATACATACATATATATATATATATATTGGTAACTGATAACGACCTCACTGCGACCTCACTATAATCATATTTAGTAAGGGGAATCATCCCAAGATGGCCTTAATTCAAGGTAGTGAATTATTATAATTTACTCATATATATATATATATATACAAATATACATTACATTTACATTACATGACATTACATACGCTCCCTGCAGGTAGCAGATCTGAAGGGCCACGGCGAAGGCATCCAGGGGACCAACGTCCACGTGGTGAGTTCTCTGGCCACCGACGGCCGGTCCTTGATCTCGGGCGGTTGGGACAAGACGGCGGCTTGGTGAAAAGCTGGGAGGGCCATTTTGGGCGATCCCAGGGATGATCCAAGGGATGAAAGTTGGGATTCCAATATATTCCAATCATGTGGACAACGAAAAGGAGGAGGATGAGGATGGAGGTTTAGACCTTTCGGAGACCATCGATTTTGTAGCCTCGATTCAGGATTGCAAATCCAAGAGCAGTCAAGGAGAAAAAGAAGAAATGAAGAAGAACAAGAAGAAGAAGAAGAAGGAGGGGAAAAACAAGAAGAAGGTTGTTGTTGCTGTTGTTGTTTTGGTTGTTGCTGTTGCTTTTTGTATGGGGTGTTTGTCTTTTCTTGTTTCCAACCGTTCATCCAGTTGGTTGATCTTGTCGGAAGCTCAGGTCCGTCTTTGGGAGAATCAGTCCCAGAAATTCGTGATGGCTGGCCACGACATTGCCGTCAATGCAGTCGCAGGAGTACGGGGTAGATGAACTAGCAAGGTATAGCTGGCGTTGCAATGTGAAACCATGCTTTGCTTGTACTGTACTGTAGGGTTATACATTTGGCTTTCGACATGATTTGATCTCTGCTTGTCTTTTGTTGTTCGAAATTTCATTGAATTTGCCCACAGCCTTTCGTATTGGAAGTTTTAATCGCGTCCTCGTCGTCGTCGTCGTCCTCCTCATCATCATCATCATCATCATCATCATGATGCTACTACTCCTCCGCATAGCAAGTCACATCCATCACGCCATTAAGAACAGTCACAGGCCTTTCCAACGGTGACATTGTGTCCGGCAGTGGCGATCAAAGCATCGGCATCTGGCGCAATGGGCAGAAGGTGATGACTCTGCAAGCGAAACAGGCGCACTAGGACAATGGGGGAAACATTGGAGAAACCACAATCTGGGGGGGGTCCTAAAATGTACCCCAAAATGGATGGTTTACCAATGGTTTATAATGAAAAAATACCTCGTAAAATGGATGATGTTGGTCCAAAACCTCGGTGGTCATGGGCAAGCCACGTTTGAATTTTACCATGTCAAGATGACAGTTTTTTTCAGCCCCCCCGACTATGTCAAAGATGTGGAGTTCCCCGACCTTCCCTAGTTTGATCTTTTTTGGCTGGTTTCCATGCAGTAGCTGCGCCCATATGATCACTTCTTCCCAGAATGATGGATTGAAGCAAACCACCGAAGAAATAAGATCATACTATATCATACTATAAGTCTGTGAATTTCTACGTTTCATGTCATGGCTTGAAACCCACCAGCAAATAATTGCATCAGTAAACCCACAATTTTTTGCAACGCAGTTCTACTTCCAAGCAGGTACATGGCCACAATGACAGGTTTTTTTAATCCCAACTTGCGGGGTTTCAGCCATGGTTTTATCATGTGTATCCATCAACAATCCCAACTTCACCCCCAAGTTCAGGACTTGGGGGGTGCAGTTCCAGTTATAAGATATTATAAGTGGATATCATATGACATTATATAATACTATACAAAATATATATATTATATATATATATTATATACATATTATATATATACAACTGTATAGGGACATAGGGCTTATATCATCTTATATCCCAAGTTATGGGTATTTCACCATGGCTCTCCAGGTGGTTCGCGCCCTCTGCGCCCTGGATGGAAGTCGGGTGGCCGCCGGCAGCAACGACGGCTTCGTACGCCTCTGGGACGCGTCCGGGAAAATGCTGGCAGAGCGGCAGGTGGCACAGCCGCCCGGCGGTGATGGCACGGGGGTGACAAGGGGATGTAGAAGTGTCCCATGGTTAGTACATTCATATATATATATGTACATAAATTATAAATATATATATATATATATATTTATATCCATTTAATGGGGAAGAATTTGTATCCATGTTTCCCATATTTATCCAATCTTTATCCCATGTAGTACATTTAGTCCCATCATTCTTGGCTGTCCTCGGGGTAAACTAACACAGCTATGGAAAATCACCAGTATTCATAGGTAGATCTCTTTCTACCGGAGGGTACATAAGAACAACGGTATATTGGGGATAAGACAATGGTGATATACTGGGATAATTATAGTTACCAAATTCAATGATGATGGTGATGTAATAGGAACATAATGGAGATGTTGTGGAGATATAAAGTATGGGATAATGATATTATATACATATATATATATATAACAATGATCCATATATACCCATAGAGTACATGAAACCGTGGCTTTGTCGGAAAAAAACACGGAAAATGATGACCAACCAGTTGAGTTATATGGGGACAGCTCATTTTCCCCATGAAACCAAGTGTTGATATGTTAAGCGACCTAATAGAATCATGGGGATTCTTGGGTTCTTATATGAGTGTTAATTGTCGGTTGTAGTTGATGAATGTTCACTTTATATCCATGTAAATATGGGGGCTATGATCCATGAGCTGAGAAGCGCAATCAGCCAACTACTGCGTGATTAATTTTTCACTAGGTTTTGACATTGTTCATTTGAGACTTTTTGAATACAATCAGGGCGATGATCTTGTGAGGATAAAAAGTATCTAGAAAAGCAGGATCGACCCAAAATGGCAAATGCGGTTGGGAAGTGAACGGGTTCAGTGGTCTCCCCCATTTTTGAGGGATCAAGGGACCCTCTGAATCCTTTGCCCTCAGAAATTTCTGGGCGATGGGCGCTTACCACAGAGCTGATAATTTTGTATTGGCTAAGTAGACAGCCTGTGGCAATATGGATGCAATGTAGTTAGAGGTTTCTGTTTCCGTGGTTCATAAGTTCCTATAGCCTGGTGGTGCTCTCCAGTTATGTTTGTTGGTTTACAACCTCCATTAACTATAGATATCTCTAGATACTATAGATACTATAGATACGATATATATATATACACCATAAATATCCATGAGTTATGTTTACCAGCTGAGCGATACCCAGCTGCACCGCGAGGTCCTACGTCCTGTCCCTGTCCCGGCACGGTCCAGAGCTGGCCGCGGGCTGTTCTGAGGGACAGGTGGTGATTCTCAGTACGGAAGGCTGGGAGGAGCTGGGAGAGGACAGCTGTTGGGCTACTTGGGCTACGGGGCGCGTCAAGCGCCATTTGATCAACGAAGATGTCGCCATTTGATCAACGAAGATGGAGAGATCAAAGGAAATCAAAGGAACAAGGAGGATTAAGGAGAGATATACCCTCTGGTTATGACTAACATAGCCATGGAAAATGGTCCATTTATAGATGGTTTACCTACTATTACCTACAAAAAATGATGATTTTCCATGTCGTTCATACGCTGGAATGTTGATCTTGTTTAAGGGTGTTTTAAGTTAGAAAGACCCATGATCCAACGCAATGGACTGAAGCCAGGACTTGTTGCATCATATTGCAGGCTGATCTCACGAAGTTATACAAACAATGATTCGATGATTGGCTTTGTTTTGTATAACTTAGTGAGATCATCCAATGAAATTAGCGAATTTTAGTGTGATGCTTAGTTGTATGCCAATGCTATAGATAACCAATGAGATTGGCGATGAGATCGCCAGCCGCCTGTGCCAGGCCTGCAGGTGAAGGAGGAGTTGCAAGTTCTTGGGGAGGACGCGGGAATGGGGGATGGATCCCAACCATTCACAACCTACTATAGATATCATTAGATATCTAGAAACTTCTATAAATCTATTGATGATCCATAATTTCCGGGATACTATACCATATTTGGGGGAAATCATACTAATCATACCATGTTCAGGGGAATTAGACCATCTTCGGGGCGAAGTATACCATGTCTAGGGGGATTATACCATATTTTCCTGCCGGAATGGACATCCATAGCTACCAGCTTTGGGCGATGCGAGGTGATCATGCGCTGAAATCATTCTGCAGGGTGCTTCAACCCAATATGGTGTACAACATGGTAAAAGCCCAGTTAATTCACAAAAGGCCATGTTGAACATTGCCGAACTAGCCCACTGATCCCTTCCCAATCAGTGAATTAGTTAAATGTGGTAAAAAACAGCCCCAAATAGTATGAAACCATCCCAGATTTAATATCCATAGGGTAATATTTAGGAAGATCTTCAATATTTTTCCCAGGGAACCATCCATAGGATTTCCACTGTCCATTGGGTGACACCATCCCAGAGGGACGTAAGATGACCCCCAGTCGGGTGGTCATGGGATGGTTGGCATTGGGTGAATCCCCAATGTTAGTAAAGCATTAGTAAGCCGTTCCCAATGTTAGAACTAGGGATTAATAACTGGCCATCCACGTAGGCCTACGGCCTGAGTTTCTTCCCCAACGGCGACCTGGCCGTGGCCTGCGGCGACGGCAGCTGCACTGTGTGGACGCGCAGCGCACAAAGGGCCGCTGGGAAGGTGGAGCGGCCGCCGTGGTGGGTCGGCTTTCTGGGGGGATTCTAAACAGCCAAGTATCTCAGCTATGGCTATACCGAAGTTATGTGAAGTTGGTGGTGACTGGAACCATGGAATTTTGAATGACTTTCCCATCATATTGGGAATTTCATCATCCCAACTGACGAAGTCATATTTTTCAGAGGGGTTGAAACCACCAACCAGTTATAGCATGTTAATAGTATGTTGATAGCATGTTATAGAAAAGTTTGATAATGTTGAGCCATAGGCCACATTGTAGATGAAAAGGCAACAAAAGAGGTGATAACATGTGATAACGACCAATATTCTGGTGTGTTTCATCAGAACTACCGTAGATGGACGATGAAATCAAACCCTTGCTGTATTGTTGTCAACCCCCGCACCCCCAAATTTCAATGTTGTCTTTGGGCTGCGCGCTTGGCTCCAGTGGACAAAATAATCAAACCCTGAACACAGAGGAAGTTAGATAGAGTTTTGTTCTACATTGAAATTTGGGGTGTGGGGTTTTACTTGGTAGATGCCTGTAGGGTTTGATTTTTTTGTCCATCTACTGTAGGACTCAACCAACAAGAATAATTAGGGATTTAGCCAGCACACGAATTGCGACTGAATCATCAAAACGATTTGTAAACTTACAAGTTCGTTGCCATACAGACCACCATGCGAGGGCCACGGTATATGGGAAAAAAACACGGACACCGCCAATATAGAATGCGTAGCTGCACTATGCCCAAAGGTTTTGATCATAGACTCAACATTACGGGTTGGCTTGGTCCTTTGTTTATCCCTTTCTACCTTAGTAATAAACATTCCGAAACCTGCGCTTAGTAGCGGATCTGTTTGTTTTGGGGTCGCTTGGAGAATGCAACATTTTCGGATGGGACTCATTGTGATTCACTAGCGATTGCGGATATACAACCAATAAAGATTGCGTAAGCTATGATTGATTATTGGTGCCAACCAATAGTTGGTTTATATATCCGCAATCTATCGTTATATAACCATGGTACCAACCAATAGTTGGTTTATAGATTCGAATGATGATCTGTAAACCAACTGGTGAATTGGTTGGTACCATGCCCATTCAAAGCGTTGGGGATGGGATATGTCATGGACGGGTGGATGGGTGGATGGATGGATAGACGGACAGAAAAGAACAGCGTAGAAGAGTCAAGAATAAAAATAAATAAATAAAAAAAAAAAAATCGAGTAGACTTAAAAAGAATAGAACCGATAATATATACATTATGATATGTATATAGACAGGTGGATAGAGAGAAAGGTAGGAATAGAATGGAATATCAAGATAAGTTGTTTGAATCACACAATAGCTGGATAGGACAGGATAGAAATGAGTAGAATGCAAGAGAGAGAGAGAGAACGCATAGACAGATAAATGGATAGACGGATTGATTGGCTGATGGATAGACAATATAGATAGAAAAGATAGAAAACATAGATGGCTAGATGAACAGACGAACTAGATAATGATAGATAGAAAGACAGCATAGAATTGGCAGGAATAGAGTAAATAGGCAGACACATAGTTTGACTGACTGATTGGTTGGTTGATTAGGTTGGTGCTTGATTCGGCTGATTGATGGACGGACGGGTGGGTTTATGGATGGATCGATAGACGGAAAGATGGATGGTTAGACAGATACAGTAGAGAGACCATTTGCGGTCCCTATTGGTTCATAGTCCATAGTTATATCAAGTGAAATCCCCATCAAGATCCATTTGAAATCTCCATCAAGATCCATGAAAAACTTAAACAAGACAAAAAGCTCATTGAATCCCCTTTTGGGTGACAATAAATCACATTAAATATACCATTGAAATCTCCATAATATTCCCATTCCAATCCCAAGAAAGTCCCAAAAGATCAATCCCATCAAGCTCCCATCCTCCTTTCCCCAGGCGCTGCGAGATGAGTTTGCCTCCCAGGCTGCTGCCGTGGCGGCGGCTTCCGCGGCGGCCCCAGCGGCTTCAGCTGGTGACTTAGTAGAATTTCAGTGGGTTTTATGTGGGATGGTTGATTCTATAGTCATAAAAACCATATTCTGTGGGTTTTTAGTCATGAACTATGTGGATTTTTGTGGATTTCAATGGATTTCAGATATGTTCAGGAGTTGGCAGATGATGTACGCTGTGGTGATGTAACATAGCTATGGAAATATTCCATAGAATTCCCAATTGGTTTGATGATTTACCTATGAAAATTGTGATGTGCCATGGCTATGTTAACTTGCAAAAGGGATCAAAAGGGTATATGGGATTGCTTCTAGGATGTAACCATGAATAAATGCGATGTTAGGGGGATGTTAAGGGAGTTTTAGCGGTTTGTGTAGTTATTAAATGTTATTAATTCTATTTGTAGGAAGGAACGATCAGTTACCATCTGGTGATTTAACATAGCCATGGAAAGATCCATCATTTTTAAGAACGGTAAACCATCTAGTTCAATGGGCCATCGAAAAACCATGGCGAACTGTTAGTCATAACCAGAGGGTAACGGGATTTTTTTCGGGGCCTGAAAAAATGATGGATACCGTGATACCAGGATACAGCTGGCGATTTTCATCAGGATGCCGGGATTTCACATAGCCATTTTTTGTTGAAAACCCATAGTGTATTTATAGTGAAATCCCCATGAAATACACATGTTGCCATCATAGACCATAAATAAATGGATCATCTCATGTTTATATATATATATGATTGTTATCCTGTATTTATGTGATTGTTAACCAGTATTCACCAGTTTTTTTTCTGGCAAATCACTGGCTCATCATCCAGCCCTTCCTTCCTGTGACAACGGTGCCAGGTGCGTCCTACGACTTCAACAGCACCGTGGAGTTTGGCGCCCGAAAGCTGACGCTCAGCTGGAACCGTGGCGAAGATCCCAAGGCTGTGGCCGATCGATTCTTGAGGCGCTGGTTCGAAGCGTTGAAAGGGCCGGGGATGAGGGAAATGGATGATTTTTTGATAGAAAACCATAGCTGGTTGGTGGTTTGGAACATGAATTTGATTTTCCCGAATAGTTGGGGTGATGATCCAATCTGACTTTCATATTTTTCAGAGGGGTAGGTCAACCACCAACCAGATAGAAAGATATTGAATGTTTAACCATAGCATCCCATTTCCTCCATGTTTATCCATTTTTGGGATGTTTAAGTTTGACTATACCGCACTATACTATACCCACTTGGCCAAATGGAATTGTGAGTAAGGGACAACCTGCCTATTTCGGGATCATACTGATTGGTGGTGTTTTTGTGTGCTCCATTTGGCTGCATGTTAAATCTAATTTTGACAAATAAAACCATGTGACCAGGTGCCAAGCTCATATTGTTTAGGGGCGGATGAAACCCATTCAGAGCCTGAATTTGGAAGCCAATGCAGTCCGCTTTGTGTTTCTGGATGACGGCGTAACAGTGTAACAGCTTTGATCAGCTTGGTGTCGATGCGAGGGAAAATGGTTTGGATGCCAGACATGCGGGATGCTTGGAAGGCACATACTGTGGCAGTGGCGTTCATCAGCGTTTGAAGATGGTTCAAAAAACAAGGGACCTCCCAGGGAGCCACAAGATCCCATAATATCCCATATATCCCATATGTGTGATCCTTTGAGGTTTAAACGTATTGAACCTTCCAAGTTTAGTCAATAATTCTGAACCATTTCCATCCAGAACGTGAGTTCTGGTTGTGATGACCTTCAGAGAGATGGGTATAGCAAGCCCTGGATCCAGCGGCACCGAGCCCAGGAGATGTTATCGCCTTTGTGAACCAGTCGATGCAGCAGCAGACGATTCAGAGCGCGGGTGGCAAAGATTTCAACTACCCGGTGGAAGTGGCAGATGGGCGTCGCCTCACCATTTCCTGGAACCGAGGGGAGAACCCACAGGTTGGGGTATCACTGGGGAACGCCCCAGGGCACTTGTTTTGCACTGGTTTCTTCTTTGAAGGGAACTTGGAGGCAAAGAAGACCGTAATACAATGTAATACATGTATGTAGGTATTTGTATATGATGGAAACCTGTCTGTCTATCAAGATATAACAAAATCTAAAACAAGTGTATATCACGAATTATCGCGATATATCTACGGCAAGTCAATTGTTCAGCTAAACGTTTGTTAAAAAGTGACAACAAGAGTAATCCCATCCCCCGAATATTAAAGACCCGCCAGCAAGCCCGGTCAAAAGATTGTAGAAGTATATCATAGCCCAATATGAAGATATCACAATCCCCAAAACGATCCAAAAGTGCTTCCAGAATATTACTATATTTACTTCATAGTTCAAGGTTTGAGAATGTTTTAGACGTTTCAAACACTATTTGGGTTTGCATGGGTTTGCTATATATGACATGATTGTTAAAGTCTTAGAATCTAGCAAAAAGGTTGTATGAAGATATAACAACCCCCCACATATGGATATTGGATATTCAAATGGTTGCTATGTATATGTTCAACACATTGGGTGATATTACATAAAATATCATATATATATAGCATATGTTTATATAATATAATATATATATATGTATTGTATATTATATATTATATTTTATATATATTATATTATATATTATATATTATATATTATATTATATATTATATATTATATATTATATATTATATATATACTTATGCTTCAACTAACCCTGCCATCCAATCCCAGCCATCTTCCGACAGGAGGTCGCCTTAAACTTCGCGCGGCAGCACGGTGGCATCGCGGCCAATGAGCTGCCGGACATCGTGAATTTCATCTCGCAGGCGCGGCAGCGGGCGGAACCATTGGGGATGAAGTCTGGATATGGATATTACCCCCTGGTAAATTAACTTGTTGACCCTGAAAATCACCAATTGTTAATGGAAACTAGTCTTCCAACCCCTATCTGGCAGGGTCTATGTTAATTTACCAGAGGGTAATTGGGATATCTGCCCCAATTGGGATGAGTATGAATATGAGATGAATATGTGTCATTGGGATGACTTTTGGATATGAAGTCTGGATATTACTGGAAGATCATATGACCAAAAGTCATTTATTTGGGCGATATTCATAATATTCATATCCATATCCATATTTAACAGATATGTTTGTTTGGAATATTGTTTTTGTGAGCAAACATGTCCAAGAAAGAAAGTTGGGGAGTTAGCCCATGTTTGAGGGTCTATTATCTGGCTGAACCTGGTTGAGTGGGATTAGTGGGATATAATTCGGGTACTTTGTTTGAGGAAGATATAATTGGCTATATAATGGCTATAATGGGATGTGATACAACATGTTCAAGAACCATTAGTGGTGCAGTGTGTAATTGGCGTATCATGTCGATTGAATCATCCAAAAAAATCGATGCATCTTATGGGGCAGTTTATCGGAGATCTTCCTTGGGCAATCCAAGAAGACGATTTTGGGATAAAGTGGGGAGTTGATCATAAAAACAATGGGATTTCAATGGGATTTACCAATGGGATGAACCAATGGGATGATCATCGACTGGGTGAAAGTTGTGGAATGTATGGAATCCCCAACGGCATGGGATGCATAGGAAAAGTATTGATTAACGAGGGGATAAATCGAGGTATCCTATTTTTAGACAAAGCCAATTGCAGGACTATTGTATTTTGGTGGTTATGAAGATCCTTGGAAACAACAAAGATGCACAGCTGACGACTTGCGGTTGGAAGTGTCCAATAAGCCACTGGTAAACCTGGGAGGTTTCTGGAAGTGCAGCTCCGGCCATGTCAGTCCAGCACCTTGGCAGATGAACTCTGCAGGCTTCTTGTACAGATAATCCCAACTGTTTGCTGCTTCAACCCCAGCTTGTTGCTGGTTTTTCATCCCGATTCATTGTTGTTGGTCAAAAAAATCCCTATTTTTTGCTGGTGAACTCCCCAACTCCCCACTTCTGCTGGTGAAATCCACTTTTTTCCTGCTTAAGCAACTGTTTGAAGTTGTTTCACTCCCTGAAATCTTTAGATCCGTCCGCCTGAGGCCTGCGGTCCCACCAGCCATGCAGCAGCAGCTACTGCAGCAGGTGATGGCCATGGGTTTTCCAGAACCTTTGGCGCGCCAGGTCAGAGGTGTCCAGTGCGGGACTTTTCGCCTGCAACTTTCTGGAGAATTTTACCAGAAGTAGTACGATAAGATAAGATAAGAATAAGGGTTTCAGCAAAAAACGGGAGGTTTACCAACAATATCTTGTTAGTGGTCTTGAGTATGTTGCCTAGTCTAGTCCATCCTGTAGAAATCGGGTGATGATCCCGTTGACTGGTGTTTTTCAGATGCGTTGAAGCCACTCCGTGACTAGATCAGTTGTTTTTCATCCAGATGTTGGGGATGGTAGAGCTTCCATGGTAACAGGGTTTGGTCTGTTGAAACCAGAAATTATAAACCAACCCTGCACCCTAAACCAAGCCTTAAACAAAGCCAGAACTAAGCCCAAACAAATTAGCCACGATGCTGCACTCGAAAAGTGGGAATGTGAAGTTTAGGCCCTGGCTGCATACTCATCATACTCAGTCTGGTTGATGGAAAATTGGGTACCCAGATTTTCACAGAGGAAACCAACTGGATGTGGTTGCGGTTGTCCAACTCTGAGGCCAAGGCCAGGGATTTTGCTAAGAAATGTATACATAACATATACGTGTATATAAATATTATATATATATATATTACACACCTATATAGTATAGATAGTATATATATAATTATATATACATATGTGATATGTGGTTTACTGTAATCGTGTATTCATCTATGATCATCTATGTGTACTGGGTTAAGTAATTGCATGTGAGGCCTTGGAGTCGTCAGCTTGGGATGTGGAAGCAGCGGTGTCGCGATTGCTTGGATGAAAAGGGGTTGAACCCAGAAATCTCGTGGGGAGTCGGGATATGTCGGGATATGTCAGGAGTTTGAGGATGTGGTGTGGATGTGGATAAGTTATGATAAGTTGGGGTGTCAAGAATTGATCAAACCCGAACGCAACTGAGGTACAAATGGTGCATGGATGTGTATGGTATGTTGTTTCAAGCAACTTTGGTAACGGATGTTGGACTGGAACTTTGTTCAATGCCGCTGCCCTTCTTGCTTGAAGCAGCCACTGCATTAGAAACACCGCAGCAGTAGATCCAAGTTTGATCAGCTGCCCTGGTGGAGAATGACCAGTCACTGGCAACGCACACGTCTTTCTCTCCGTGAATTGCTAGATCCTTTGGCTTTACCTGAGCATGCAGATTGATATACATTGATACTGCAACCCCAAGCTTCCTGAGAATCAGCTGGTGCGTGCCCCCAAAGTTGGGGTCCCATGTGTCATGGCGTCCACCTTAGTTGTCGTGATAGGGGTAGCACATAGGTCCAGAATCAGAATACATCACCGTGTCGATGGGGGATCACAGTCCATTTTGCCAAAGAATCACAATGAGAAAAGCAGCTGAGAACCGCGGTCAACAAAGGTCATCTGTGTCTGTCACATTTCCTGTGGAGACAATTGGCGCCCGTTTTGGGCCCATGACAGTGAAGCCCTTAGCACTTTCCACATTTCCTTAAAAAAAAAATCCGGTTTTTTCACCTGGGTCTGCTAGAAAGTCCCCCAATAATTCGATGCTTTTCCCATGCCTTCATTAAAACCTACACACCCATGACCTCAGGTCACAAGGAGAAGGGTGATACAGAGGACGGCGGGCTGCGATGGTCCACAGGTGTGAGCAGGAAAAAAATCACGTTAGATCTGATGAAAGAGGGCATACGTGCCTTTTTGGCTATTGTGTGGCCCAAGTTGATCAGAATTTCTTCCACCAAAATCCTGCAATTGGCTGGTGTTTTCGTGAAACCAATCCATTGAATGTGAGATTTGGGGCTCAATATCCCCGTGAAACCCTTGATTCGTATCCCCATTATTGTTGGCTAAGATCCCAGTTCTTGGTCAAATCCCCACTTTTGTGAGTTAAATATCCTTGTTGGTGTATGTTAAATCATGTTAAATCATGTTAAATCATGGTTAAATCAGGTTAAATCATGTTAAATCATGTAAAATCATGTTAAATCCCTAATTTTGTTGTGTCCCATGTCTGTAAACCTATCTATTTCAGGTCCGGTGTTGACCCTGTGTCGCCCGCAGCCATAGGGAGAAGATCTGCCTGGAACGATCCATGCAGACGTCGCTGAACGGCGTTTGGGGCAACTGGAGACATGCGCTGATTTTCCAAATTTTGAAACCTCAAAATTCAGGGGTTGGTAACTGTCCCATTTTGGGTATATTGGACATCACCTTATAGTAGCCATTATAGATCATATACCTAATGGTTGGGTGATGTTCAATGGGGACATTTAATGACCCATGAAATTCATCGAAATTCCATAAATATCCATGGTTTGTCGTGCATATAGCCTTGTTAACTTGAAATGTTGTGGCTTCCCCCATGTTGAGACACGCTCAATGTGTTTAGACATCCATGATTACTCATGATAAACTCTTTGATTGGCTCTTTGATGATTTCTTGCATGTTTGAACATGTTCGCCCCAACCCGGACATTGCTCCACACTTGCAATCGACATCATCATCATCATCATCACCATCATCATCATCATCATCACATCATCACATCATGATAATCATCACATAAAAATTCGCCACCCCCTCTGCACAATATGTTGACTGGGGTAGGGTCAAAATTTGCTACCCGCTCTGAACAATATGTTGACTGGGGTAATAACATCAACTATATCTCCATGAGGGATCAAAATTTGCCACCTTCTATGAACAACATGTTGGTTGGGGTAGTAACATCAACTTTATCTTCATGAGGGATCAAAATGCGCCACCCCCTCTGAACAATATGTTGGTTGGGGTAATAATATCAACTATATCTCCATGAGGGATCGAAATTCGCCACCCTCTATGAACAACATGTTGGTTGGGGTAACAACATCAACGTTATCTTCATGAGGGATCAAAATGCGCCACCCCCTCTGAACATATGTTGATTGGGGTAATAACATCAACGTTATCTTCATAAGGGATCAAAATTCACCACCCCCTATGAACAATATGCTGGTTGGGGTAACATCATCAACTTTATCTTCATAGCCACCTGAAGTCAGACGCGGCGCAACGTCAGGGTTGCAGCGAACATGTTTAGTATTTGGTGAAGAACCTGATATCATCATCATCATCATCAACATCATCATCATATACCATCATATACCATCATATACCATCATACATCATCATACATCATCATACATCATCATACATCATCATACATCATCATCATCATCATCATCATCATCACCATCATCACCATCATCATCGTCATCGTCGTCATCGTCGTCGTCGTCGTCATCATCATCATCATATACCATCATACATCATCATACATCATCATACATCATCATACATCATCATACATCATCATACATCATCATATATCATCATATATCATGCATCATCATATTTCAGCATCAGTTCATATCAGTTCATATCAGTTCCAGATCTTTGTTTCTTCATCCTCTGAGCTGGTCAGGTTGGTGACGGATGTCAGAGCCTCAGCGAAGGACCTGGGAAAGCCGTGAAAGCAGCCTGGTTTCCAGCGGAAAAAACACGTTTGAAACGTTGAATAATATTGAATATATATATTTATATTTATATTTATAATTATATAATTATAGATATTTATACATATATATATATATTGCATCTATGATTATAAGTTGGAGATTATTACATTGATGTTTATGATTATAGCTACATTTATCGTCAGAATCATAAAGATCTGCCACGCAAGGCTGTGGGCTGCGATCGCTCCTGGAATCCATTAAGGAGGCAGCGGGTCATGGTGGGTCCATCTGGCATTGTTTTTTCTGCATCCCATGGCCAGGTCTTGCGGAAGTGGGGATGTCATGGCCTCAGGATACGGACCCTGGGGCCCTTGGACCAACGTGTCGTGTTGGTTGTTTTGTTGTGCCGGCAGAGTGAAGCTTTTTTAGATGTTTTCAGAAGCTAATGGACCTAATACGCCTAATGATACCTAATGATTAATTGAAGCCGAATGATGAACAGCAATGACTTCAAGCCAAACCTGGTGGGTTTGATCAACTCACCAAGTCTTCACCACTTCCAGAAGCCTTACAGCTGGTTCCGAGGTTATGAAGAGGACTGAGTCGTTGCGAGACTCTGGAGCCAATGACAGGTTTAGGGATGCTGAAATGGGGTGTCCCTGCAATCGACCACAGCGCGGAAAAGGAGTCGAGCAGTCGAGCACAGAGGATGGGGTGAATGTAAAGTGTCCAGGATGCCGGGCAAATTCCAAAAGGGTTTACCATCAATGATGCTTTGCAACAATTAATTTGTATGAAAACCATCCCAAGCACCTTTGGATAATCTTATATCAGGATTGGGAATCATTATAATTTGCCCAGCTGGAGGGTTTGGAAGACTTGACACCGATGCTTTGGGATGTGGATGTTGAGGCTGTTTGAATAGTTGGTCATGTTGCGGGAAATTGCTCAAGAGTTTCAGGGATTATGTGGTGTCGCTGCAGAAGTTTTAATACTGTCCACGATTATTGCTTGAGTGAAAACTATTCAGTGAGTATGCACAGATTGCTAATTGTTCCTGGCTGATGGTTTCAAATATAGTTTGTTCGTACTCATTTCCCGGCACTGGTTGGCCATTTTCAGGGATGCCCCAAGCCTCTCAAGGTTTCTGAGATCACTTCAGTGTGTCCCCGCAGTCTTTTTGCCAAAAACGTGAACGCGGGAGAGAGACGGGTACCGCGGACACCGTTGTGTCACATTCTTTTGCCGCTGTCACGATGCCTCCACCTTGGCCACCACCCAATGCTGCGACTTGGCGATAGAACAAAAATGTGTGTTTGTTTCTGGGGGACGAGAAGGTCCCATTGGTTTTTCAGTAGCCAATGAAGACTTGTGGGGAAGCCATTGAACTTTGAGCTTGTGTAGTTTTTCAGTGCATGAATCATGAATGAAGACCAGATGGCTCAAAATCGCTTGGTGACTCCATCTGACTCCCGTGGTTTGCCACGCACGGGAATTGCTCAGGACCTCGTCAGTCAGAAACCAGCCAACGAGATGGATAAGGCAGATATGGGATACGTCAATGTTTCCAGCCTGCAGTGGGGCAAGCAATCGTTGCAGGTTGCTTTGCGGATCCTTTCATTCTCTTTGAAAATCCTTTGAGTCCATTTATACGGAGGTTGCCCAAAATGGGGGTACCCCTAAATCATGCATTTTAATAGGGTTTTCCATTATAAACCATCCATTTGGGGGTACCACCATTTATGGAAATCCCCATATAAGAGTATGTATCGATATTTAAGACCTATTCGATCCATTCAAGATCCTTTGCAGATCCATTCCAGCAGCTGAGGCTGAGTTGGCCGCCGCCCCAGAGAAGGACACGCAGAAGGAGCATGAAACCATGCACCCTGGCCCCAACTTGGCATTTCTGCCACAGACAAATGGGTCCAGAAATAGGCTGTATATCTGTATAGTACCCCAAATTTTCCATCAGATTCCCCATGTTTTCATGTGGTAAATGATGAAAACCTGTGAAAAACGATGATGTTTTCCGTGGGATTTGGGGGTATACCCTACAGACACACGTCGGATGGGCTAATTAGTCATCCCTGGACAGCGCGGCTAAATGGACTGAGGTTTTCACAAATGCTGGAAAGTCGCTTGTCTGAAACGGTTTTTTTGGGTGAACGATAACTGAAATTGGTTGGTGGTTTGGAACATCCCAACTGACGAACTCAGATTTTTCAGAGGGGTGGCGAAAAACCACCAACCAGATATACTGAAAATCTGAAATGATTCAAATGCTCAGATGCGAAGACAACAGAAGCACACAAAGTTCATGAGCTCATGAAACTGCAATGATTGGAAGTCGATCACGCATGCATAGAAAGAGTGCACTTGTAGATGCGAGTCACAACAGATGCCAGCTGTACTGAGTGGTGTGTGATACGGTGGTTTCTTGAAATGTACTCATGGTCTAATGTTGGATGATAACTGGGGGTACCCCCATGACAAAACGGAAAAAACCCATGTGTTTCACAAACCGGTGTCACCAGTGTCACTCGTGGCTTTGCCTTCATTTCCTGCGCCGCGCTGAGAATTTAAAGCCTGCGAAGTGCGTGACGATTCGGGCAGCCTCACAGATATCAAGCTAGCTGAATTCTGGGTAGTCCTACCGGCATGTGGCTGAAATCATGGGAGGGGCCAAGGATTCACAGCTGGATTTGCCGAAAAGATCCGAAAAGTGGTGGAAACTTTGCTCCCAAATGGTTTAGTGAATAGCTTGACAGCTGTAAAGAAATATCATTTGGGTTTGTCTGAAAATAGGGCCTAATTTGATGGTAAAATCACACTCTTATCCATCAAAGTAAGCATTTGGACACCCCATTTTCAGGTAGTTACTGGGTACCAAACCAAAAACATATTGTTGGTTATAGTATATGTATAGAGAGAGAGAGAAAGAGATTGTTGCTTGTGATATCTTATAATATATATATATATAATTATATATATATATGATATTGTAGGTTACATCTCCCATTACATAAACACATTGTCGTTGGTTAGTCCGTTCTCCCCATTGAATACCCCCAGAAAGCATGTGTCAGGCCTGTGATCTCTATCGAAGCTTGGTACGGATTCATCGCGGGGGTGCCGGTGAATGAATTGTTGCACTGCAAGGACTGTAGATTGTTTGTGGTAAAAAATGGCTCATGGATGCCAGTTGTCGGGGGAGCTAGGTCGAGAGAATGTGGAATTTGTCATCGCCTGGTGGTTTTTTTCTGATCAATTTCCGCTAGCCCTGAACCTTATCGCGCACACTCGAATGCTGTGTAGCTTTTCTGTTTAGATACCATCAACAGCTGCCAGTCAAGCAGTGTCCAGGCTATGCACGTGTTGGCAAGGGATTTGTGTGACCCTCCGGATGATATCAAGATATCTTATAGAAGATGATTTCAGATGATATTAAGTTATCATAAGTTATCAAAATCAGAATCCAGTTAGCAAAGACACATAAAGAAACAACCAAAACACTCCCTTTTTGGGCCGCCCTTTTTTTAGGTGAGATGCTGTCCAAGCTGGGAAGTGCTGCGAACATGATTGTCAGCGACATCCAGCAAAATCTTGCCAACGCCAAGGTGCACCATGGGCGACGACGTAGAGTGCGACTGGTGGTGAAATATGGGTGGAAATTGAGGATTGACTATTGTTATATAATATATATATATATATATATTATGATCCATAAAATGGGAAAGCTTATGAACAAACCATAGTCCATATATTTCCACAAAAGGGTTCACATTGGTTCACATTGTTTCACTAATAGAGTTTGATGGTTCACTCCATGATACTCCATGGAAAAACATCTGTGAATCTGCCATGAGATGTCCAAAAATCTGCAGGCAGTCTATGACGAAGCCCCTGACGAGCGGAGCACACTCTCTGCCTTTCTGCGGCTCAGACGTGGATGTCGTATGTGGAAATTGTGAAAATCCGTTGTGAATGGTTGTGATATCGGTAGATACTATTCATAAAATGGCATGGTTCTGTGATTACCTGTGACAGGTACGTAGAATATCATGATGATGATCGTTACCTGTGCGACCTAGAATATCACCTGAGATCATTGCCATTTTTGTTGAACCCTTTGATTGAAATGGCCCCACCAAGAGAAAGGATGAGAGTCGCATGGGCAGTTTGCATAGCAGGCCAGGATAATTGATCCAAGAATGTGCCTGTTGTTTGCAGCCTGGAACATGAAGAACTCAAGGGGGCAGTGAAGCATCAAGGGGGTTGTCAATGTTTTGTTGTAACGTCTTGTAATCTTTGGCACCCCCGAATGATACATGCGTCGCGCGAAGGAAAGCAATAAGTTTACTGCAGATGTCAGCGAAGTTTCGGACAGTTCCTGCCTTTCAGCATCTTCAATTCATTCAGACTTCCGGGCATCTGAGGGAATTGCCAAAGGGACATGTTGGTATTGCAAAGCTGACCTGGTTGTGCAGGCAGGGATAGTGTGGGAGCCATAGCAGGTCTACTCTTAGATTGATAGAGAGTCCCATAACAGTGATAGTTCATGATAGGTCCATGATGTTGCACGATGTTCCATGATAGTTCCACTTCTTAATGGTACCCCGATATGAATCAACCAGGGCCGTTTTTGGTGATGTCCAACGTCATCAGTACATGGTAGGAAATTTTGGAATTTGGGGATGGATTGTTATTGGGTTGATGGATCCATTGCCTAATTCGGTCATTCATAGTTCTACATGGAATCATACGACGTTATATCATCATCATAGTTGGATGCACCCTTGTACTTTTATGAAATCTCTTTCGTTGTTGGTTCTCAATGCAGTATATGCGTGCGATGCCTTCGGCGCATTCGATTGATCACCAGCTTCATGGGAAAGGTCGGCGAGCAACCCATCTTCAATGATTCGATATGATAATGGCAGCTCTACCACATTTCTTATTGATACCAGGTTAGCCTCTGGTAATTTAACATAGCTATTGAAAATGGCAATTTATAGTGGATTTTCCCATTAAAAATGGTGAATTTCCAATGGTATGTTAGTTTACCAGAGGGTAGCATTTCTTGCTTGAGATCCCCACATTGTTCGTTACTTTGACCCTTTGACCTATTCTTCCAGCAGGGGCTGCGAGTTTTTCCTGGTGATGCTCAAGAAGATCTTCAGCGAAAATTCGGGGAACGCGGCGGTTCAGGTGCCTTGTTTTGGACCGCCGGGGTTCATCCGAAAGAATCAATGGTGGATAGTGATTCCACCAATGGTGACGTCACCAAAGCTGGGGATATAATGGGGATATAATGGGGATACAGTATATGATTGTAATCTGGATAAATTTGATCAAGACCTCACTGCGAAGGCACTGGAATGATGTGAATTGTAAGGGTAATCATCCCCAAATGGCTGAACTGTTCGGGTCCGCAGAAGACAGTGGCCGAACTGTGTCCTCAAACTGTGGTGTTTGACCAACATGAAGCGGGTTATTTTACCAAGAACTTGGCGATTTCAATGTTGGGACACTCTGTTGAAACCTCAAATTGGACAATGCAAATGCAGATGCCATTTTGCTAAAATTGAACCAATCGAGTGCGCATGGTGTATTGTTTCCTGATGCTTCAAGCAGCCTATGACAAAGTGTCACCTAGCTTGGTGCTTTCAAACATGATCAAACATGTTTTTTGAATGTTGAAACCATATTTGGTGGGTTCCTGAAATATAGGTATCCCCAAATCATCGATTTTCATGGGATTTTCCATTATAAACCAACCCATTTTTGGAAACCCCCATTTGGGATGACAAATTCCTCACGTTCGTGATGTTTTTCCAGTGGTAACTACCAAGCTTCTGAGAGGCTTATGAGGAGACCCTTATGCAATACCATGGCTGGGTTCGGGCCTCAAGCGCTTGGAGTTTTTGAAGACACGGAGCTCAATGGTTGTTTGGAAGCATTGATATGTTGTATGAAATTGATTGAAATTGTATAATGATCAGGATGTTTGGCACTGCAGAATGAGTTGTTGAACACAGATCATGCCCCCTGATCCTTTTTGCCTCGCAGTTTCTGCAGAAGAGCTTGAAGATTGCATTGCGTGCCCTTCCATCCAAAGATAACATCTGCCAGTCTGACGGTTTGGTCCTTCAAGGACGGATGGTCAATTATGATGTCGTAAAACCATTGATCCTGAAGGATTATTGTAGCCACTGAGCCAAAGATCCACTCTTGTTGTGGTGTAAATTTACAAGACATGTGTATTGTTTGTTGAAGTGAAATAGACACGTGTGATGTGGTAAACCTATTTTTTTGTAAAAACCATCTATTTTGAGCACATTGAATGGATCTCTATGTGGGCGTTTGTTCGGTCATACCACAGGTTCCTGCACAACAATCAGCAGAACTGACTTGGCTTGAAGTGGCTCAGTTTACCCTCCGGTAAACTAACATACAGTAGCTATTGGAAATGGCCCGTTTATAGTTGATTTACCTATTATATAAAAATTATGATTTTCCATAGCTATGTTAATTTACCAGAGGGTATCTCAGGATCTATGGCTTTTGAGATGTGAATCCCAAGGTTGAAGCACACCCTTAAAGTGCCACATCCAAGAGCTACCCAGAATATAACCAAAATGTTGCCTGGAATACCAATATTTGATGATTTGATGATGGGTATTTTTCTGATTTGGACCATGTCCTGATTTGAACCATGTCCTGATTTGATTTTGTTTAGCTTATCGGGTCCAAAAAGTGGATACATGTTTGGGGGTCGCAAGTAACTACACAGACATAAACTTGTGGACAACTAATCCAGCTGGCAGAATTTGCTGTAGCCGCTGCGCGTCAATTTGACATGATCACCTGAGCAGGGATACCATTGGAGACTGCTTGCTATTTGTCGAGCATGTTTTCGTTGAGCATCATATCCAAACTCCTGGCAATCAAGGGACGTATGTCATTGTATCATCTACTTGTACCTGTTTGAAACCCATTTGTTTGATGATTTGCCACAACATCAGCTTTGGTCCGGCACTGTTTTGAAACCACTGCTGGAGTTGTGGGGAAATTACTTCTTTGGGTCCTAATGTGTTTTTCTTTACCATATTGTTTATCTAGAGGGGGATCTTGTAGTCAAAATCACAGTCATAGGTGTTTCTTCAAAAGAACCTACTGTTTTCAGAAAAAGAAATGTAGAAGGATATCTCCGTAAGTATGTATGGCAACAGACTTGGAGGTCCCCTTTGGATCTTCCGGATGCAGGAGACTTGTCCCTCGAGAAGAAGCGGGAGCTCTGTGAACGTGATGCGCCCGTCGCATCAGAAGAAGCTATCGAAGTGTTGCTTGGCACAGCATGGCCTTTTTGGTTGGGACGATGTCGCAGCGCAGATCATTCGGTAATTTAACATAGCTATGGAAAATCACTATTTTTTTATGGGAAAATCCACTATAAATGGTGATTTTCAATAGCTATGTTAAATTACCAGAGGGTAACTGAGTAACTGAGTAGATCCTGATGTTTGCGGGGACGGATTTTAGGGATTTAGCTTTGTGACAGAAGCCTCCCAACCTCGACCAAAGATTATGACAAAAAGGCAATGAAAAGGTAGAGATTCACGAGGGAATGACTAAGAAACCCCCGCAAACTATGAGCAGAACTTTGAATTTGTGGCAGTCAAAAGCTTGAAGCTTTCACATTCTCATCAATTCTCAGCATCTTTCAATCGCCCAGGGTTCATCTTGTCTTTGACATGATGAAGAAGACTGGCCGATGGGACGACAAGAAAGCCTGAGGACTTCAACAACGCTCACCAAAGCGCCAGAGCGCCAGAGCGTCCTGCAGACGGCTGATCTTTGTACATTTTGTACCATGAAAACTTGGCGGAAATGAATGTACCATTGAAATTCAAAGATCTTATATGATATTATACTATATTACTATATTAGGAACTTGTCATGTAAGTAGTGTATCCTGCATATTGCTGGATACGGGCGCATTGTTGCTTCTCACAAAAACTCCCGCTGATTTGAGCTAGATGTTGAAACTCCGGTAATTCCGAATCAGCACTGTGTTGTGACGGGAGTTTCTGCCAGGTGAATCACTCTCGGTGTTTTCACTCCTGCTGATGCAGGTCAAGCGAGAGCAACCTGTAAAAAGTTCAACTGGAACCGCGAGCCATGCTGTGAAAAGCAGTTCTGCCTCGCTAAGAGAGTTTTGTTGCTGGACGGAACAGTTGCGGAAGGTGATTGTTTCCACCCGGCACTTTGCGAGCATCTGCGAAGGGAGACATAAAATTAGACATTCTTGATTCTTGAAAGAAAATGCCACCAATCGCCACGCATTTCTATTCTATGTGGCAAGTAGCTCTTCTGATTTCAGCAGAACATACCAGAACCCACTTTGAATTGGACAAATGAAGATGCTTGCGGCGCATCTTCCAGCTGCTCTCGACTACTACTGATTGCAGATGCAAAAAAAAGCTTTAGTTATGAATTATAATGATATATAACAATCTAAATTATGTTTGGTATTGATTCGGAATATAAATGTACATTTTTTTTATATAGATAATTTAATATAGTATTTTGTATGATCTAATTTGGACCCAAGAAGAATGTTTATATAATTTAGCATATATATATATAATATTATATCTAATATTATTTATAACATTATTTAATATGATTGATGCTACATTTTTTGAGTAACATTCTTTATGTTTATATTTGGATTATGTAAGTTTGGCGATATATGTTGTAAAATTATTGTATATTATTGTAGAGCTTCGTATAATGGCGATGCCCTGTGGTTTGGAAGTGGGTAATGTATTGTGGAATTGAATGCATGATACATGTATGGATGAGAATGCAGATAATCGCCGGGAAGGAATATTATAATACAGGTGAAAGTTTGGTGCTAAGGAATTTTGGGGAGTGGATGTGGATGTGGATGTTGTTGTGGTTGTTGTTGTGGTGGTTATTATTGTGGTTGTTGTTATTGTTGTTATTATTATTAATGATGAAATTATTAATATATAATATTGATATTATTGTGTTAATATATTTATTACAATATTGTTTGTTTTGTAATGTGCGAAAATTAGTTTATAAATATTGTTGAAATTTAAAATTATTATATTTATAATTATTTATTTTGGCTTAAATAATTAGCCTAAATTCTCTTTTTTATTTTTTCTCCTTTTGTGCGGGGAGTTTTTATTTTGTCTCTCCCGGGAAGATACCTTTCGGTAGATTTTTATAGGATTGAAAGAAAGGGAGCGGTCCTTATTCGTTTTCCTGGATGCTAAGATTAATGGATATTTAATGTAGCTATATGCCTACGCTTCGGCATGTGTTTGGTAGGCTTCGGTATGGTTGGGTATAG